TCGGTGGTTGGTATATTGCGTATGTGTAGTGGCAAAGAATTCCATTGTTTGGGGGTGCAGAAAGAGAAAGATAGTTCACCATATGCTTTAGTGTGTTTCTTGGGAATGGACAGAATGCGCGTGTCTGCAGAGGAGCGAAGCTGTCGAAGGGGTGAATAGACAGAAATAAGTTCAGTTAGATAGGAAGGGCAGGATTCCGAGAAAAAGTTGTGACAGAGAACAGACACCTTGTAGTCAATGCGTGCCTGTCTAGGGAGCCAATGAAGGGAGTGGAGTAGTGGAGTGACGTGATCACGTTTTTTTGCCTTTAGAACTAGCCTAGCAGCTGAGTTTTGGACTTTCTGCAGTTTTTCTAAGCAGTGTTTTGGTGAACCTGACAGAAGAGAGTTGCAATAGTCAAGACGAGAGAGAACAAGAGCACAGACTAGAGTTTTGGGACTTTAGAAAAACGGGCCATTCAGAAAGAGAGCAAGGAGTGAAACAAGAAATGGAGGTTGAAGAATGTGACAGTTGATTCACAAAGTTTATGTGAGAAGATTGAGCATAAATCGTTTATGTTTTAAATGAAGATTTATAGTGTGTTAACACTTCATCAAGTAAAGTAGTTTACCGAGAAGATAGTATTGAAATATGTATGATACGTTCCCAGTGTTTTTGGATTTACTTTTGTGAGATGTATTTCTTATTGTGAATCTCACTGAACGTGTACAATCAAATAGTCACTGTAATTTGAACCACTTCGTCCCTGGTATTATTTACAAGACATTGTGATTGTGACACGGACCCAATCGATTTTACAGTGGAAGCAGTGTTTTGTCTGTTGTTTGAATGAAACTTTTGTCTGGTGTTTGAATGAAACTTTTGTCTGTTGTTTGAATGAAACTTTTGTCTGTTGTTTGAATGAAACTTTTGTCTGTTGTTTGAATGAAACTTTTGTCTGTTGTTTGAATGAAACTTTTGTCTGAATGAAACTTTTGTCTGGTGTTTGAATGAAACTTTTGTCTGTTATTTGAATGAAACTTTTGTCTGTTGTTTGAATGAAACTTTTGTCTGGTGTTTGAATGAAACTTTTGTCTGGTGTTTGAATGAAACTTTTGTCTGGTGTTTGAATTAAACTTTTGTCTGTTGTTTGAATGAAACTTTTGTCTGGTGTTTGAATGAAACTTTTGTCTGGTGTTTGAATGAAACTTTTGTCTGGTGTTTGAATGAAACTTTTGTCTGGTGTTTGAATGAAACTTTTGTCTGTTGTTTGAATGAAACTTTTGTCTGGTGTTTGAATGAAACTTTTGTCTGGTGTTTGAATGAAACTTTTGTCTGGTGTTTGAATGAAACTTTTGTCTGGTGTTTGAATGAAACTTTTGTCTGGTGTTTGAATGAAACTTTTGTCTGGAGTTTGAATGAAACTTTTGTCTGTTGTTTGAATGAAACTTTTGTCTGTTGTTTGAATGAAACTTTTGTCTGGAGTTTGAATGAAACTTTTGTCTGGAGTTTGAATGAAACTTTTGTCTGGTGTTTGAATGAAACTTTTGTCTGGTGTTTGAATGAAACTTTTGTCTGGTGTTTGAATGAAACTTTTGTCTGGAGTTTGAATGAAACTTTTGTCTGGAGTTTGAATGAAACTTTTGTCTGTTGTTTGAATGAAACTTTTGTCTGGAGTTTGAATGAAACTTTTGTCTGGAGTTTGAATGAAACTTTTGTCTGGAGTTTGAATGAAACTTTTGCCTGGAGTTTGAATGAAACTTTTGTCTGGAGTTCGAATGAAACTTTTGTCTGGAGTTTGAATGAAACTTTTGTCTGGAGTTTGAATGAAACTTTTGTCTGGAGTTTGAATGAAACTTTTGTCTGGTGTTTGAATAAAACTTTTGTCTAGTGTTTGAATGAAACTTTTGTCTAGTGTTTGAATGAAACTTTTGTCTAGTGTTTGAATGAAACTTTTGTCTGATGTTTGAATGAAACTTTTGTCTAGTGTTTGAATGAAACTTTTGTCTAGTGTTTGAATGAAACTTTTGTCTGGTGTTTGAATAAAACTTTTGTCTGGTGTTGGAATAAAACTTTTGTCTGTTGTTTGAATGAAACTTTTGTCTGGAGTAGGAACACTATTAAAATTGTCTGACACAAGAAAATATATTGTCAAGATCTCAATAACATTAAGAACTTGGGACATCATTTACAATACTTTCCATCAAGATGTCATCACATACTTAAGTTGGAGTGTACAAAAGTATCAATCAGGTCAAAAGTATCAATCAATTTATTGATCATTCTGGCTCCAGGTTTGATTTCAGAGTTTGCCTTAACTTAGATGAGTTGCCGTCCAAGGCTAACGAGTCCGATCTACCCGGAGTGCTTGGGATGTTGGCTTTCGTGGGGATTGAACTCCAGACCACCAGCTATTTGGTTTGTGTCAGTTTAGACCGTTCAGCCACACGGCACATTGTGTGGCTAAAACCTGTGAAAACTACAGCCTGGCAATACAGAGATCTTGCAACACCAAGCACCAGGAAATTTAACATAGAACCTAAACTAACAATAGATGAGGAGATCAACAGAATTTCCAATGTAAATGATGCATTCAAAAGACTCTGTAGGAGCGTCTGGGTCTCAGTATTAACACTAAGCTGAAGGTAAAGAGGGCAATCATGTTAACAACTCCCAGGAGAAGATATCCTAAGGGATAGCAGACATGCAAGACAACTAATCCATATCCACCTTCACCCTTTACTCAAAATTCTTGGCATATGTGGACAAAATACCTGATAAAGAAGTCTATGTCAGGCTTTAATAGCATTTCACATGTTCGTACAAAAGGGTTAAGCCAGTTTGGGCAGGACATGTTTTTGCAAAAATGCCAGACAGTGGACTTCCTAACCAACTTATGTACCGGTACTGTAAACTTTCCAGAAAGAGACGTGCTCAGATGGTAGGCAGAAAAAAAACAACACTTTAAAGATTGCCATAAAGTTTCACTCAATTTCCATGGGCAGCGACCCGAACTCATGGGAAACACTTGTTTATGATCGCTAAGCTGTCGGGGCAGACTCACTGTTGGAGCAGGAAGGAAAAGAAGAATCGCCTTTAATGATCCTATAATAGGACACATGTGTCCCACATGCTGACAAGCAGGCAAAAATAAGACTGTCAGGCCACCATCACACTCACCGTCGAATATGGTATAGGTCATCTTACAATGCAAAGGACAAACAAATACCGGTAAATAGTTTACATCTGCTTAAAATAGTTTTCTGTTTTTCCATATCTTGCCTCTCATTGGCTCAGACGTTTAGAATGTCCATATCTTGCCTATCATTGGCTCAGACGTTTAGAATGTCCATATCTTGCCTATCATTGGCTCAGACGTTTAGAATCAGATTATATCTTTATACTAATTTTGACAAGCCTAAAAGAATTTAACAGGAAAATATTAAGTCTAACAGAGCCCCGTGCACATATCTTGAAAGATTTGTAAAACACTTCCAAATGCAACAAGGTTTTAAAAAAAAGGTTTACAGCAATTAAGAATGTTAAATTTTAAAATAATAGCAATAAATACAAAACTCTGCATTTATTTTAGAAGAGTCTTAATTTAATATTGCATTTTATGACTCAAGATTAAAACAGAACACATTTCAGACACAATGATCGACATGAAGAGTAATATCATTAGCACAAAGTTGTGCATTAATGCACTGTCCTAGTTACAATTAGGTTAAATAAACAAATAACTGAATCTATTTTGACGTTCTTATAACTATAAGGCCTACATTTGAATTTATTAGCTTTTAAAAGTTTTAATTCATAAAATTGAACCCTTTTACGCAATAGCAATTCTAATGACTTTCTAATTGGAGATTAAATTAGAGTTTGAGAAACATGGCCAGATACAAAATGATAAATAATGCATCTTTAACTAAGGGGGATAAATGAGCTAAATAATCAGCTACAGGCATAAGAGAAATCTCGAAATTTCCAAAATGACCACAAAAAAAAAAATTCTTGTAAAATATTTTTTGGTTTTCACATGATAAAACTGACTTTGCACTCATTTATTATGTCCCCTATGAGTTGGGGTTGATTAACTTTAAAAATCATTGGAAAGTTTTCTAATAAATTAGTGCCTGCAATTACAAAGACAATGCATGATGTAGCCATGTTAAGTGAATAAATAGTGGAAAAGGTTATGTTTGGGCGCGAAACTAGAAGATAAAGACAATTAAACGGATGTTACAAAGACTAAATTCAATCCTCAAGCAAAATGACTCTTAATTGGACATAGTTATCAATGAAAGTTATTAAGGGATTTAAGTTTCTCTTGATTTTCTCCCTATTTACCATTTCAAAAACCAGCATATTGGCCAATTGTTCTATCTTTAGCAACTGTTAAATGCACTTCTTCATGCTGAAGTTGAGAAATTTCTTTTATCAAAATTACGGTTTACAAAGGGAAAACTGAATGGTAAAAATTGCTAATGAAATTTATGGGTCTGCATTATTGTAAATAGCAATTTAGTCAAAAATGTATTCATATTGTGAATTTGATGGCAATTTAAAAGTACCGGTAATCAATGATAAATCACTTGTTTATTATGGTGGCGCTAGTATACAGATTTCAGCATGGAATTTAAATCCATTGAAAGAAATATTTTCCGCCCAGACAAAATTCTTGAGTTTACTGTTTCATACTCATAACATTATGTTCCACCATTTGAGGAGAAAAAGACATGCTCTGGAATAAGATTAACATATCACAGTAAACGTGAACATGGAATTTTAGGGATTTAAAAAAAAAAGTTAGGCATTCGCATTATCCATTCACTGTAATCTATGGTAGGTCAGAAAATCTATTTATTGAACTGAAATGTTGTGCTTTATTAAAAATTTCTAGTGAATTCTCAAAATATGCAATTTATCCACAAATAAATATACACAAATTTAAGTTGTTGTTCACAATAATCTTAAAGTTATAAAATCATGAAAAAAAAAATTATGTACAAAGTGTTATGCTACAATTTATCAAACCTTTGCTGACATTTCTTAGAGCATATGTAAACAAGGAATGGGTACTCTTCACTGCTATAATTTATGGTTGATGGCAGTTTGCTTCTGTGAAGTTGTGAGATACTCGACTCGAAACATGGCTTACCACATAGACAGTAGTGAACTTGTTTGAGATAACTGATAGAGTGAACATCCAGGTCTTCATTCGTGTAATGGATTCTGTAAGGAATGAAGAGTAAGGGATTTGGGTCAAGCAAAAATAATAATAATACTCTACAGGATTGATTTTTTAATGGAATTTACATCTCTGGTGTGATGAAGACGATAGTTCAAATGAAGTGAGTACCTTCATGCCAGCTCATTAAGAAATTGAATGAAGGTGATAAAAACAAAACTCTTCAAGTACTTTAGTGAAGGTGTAGAATTCCTGATCCTTGCACCATTTGATAAAATTAACTGTGTTAGTACAGACATTCTTAGCCATTTACTGATTTACACATTTTTTCAATTGCACTTTTTTTTTCACTGAGGTCCATTTATTAAATCTCAGATTTTAAAAGAAACATTCACTCCATTGTAAAACGAAACATGTCTTACAATTCATATCTCTAACTGCAGATATGTAAAAAAAAAAAAAAAAAGACTGGAACCACCAACCTTTGATTGACAACAACCCTAGCCGCCCACTCCATCAAAGTAGGAACAGAAAACAGTCCTGACCCTCGGTCCCGTAGACGGTCTACAAAAAGGTTATGACTAAAATCAGCTGTTCCCAATGTCCTGCTGAGCAATATCCCAGGAAGATATCCCAGTTTGTTGTCAGACATGAAAATGTTCTGTAGTGATCGAATGAAAGCTATTGACTCTGGTAAACACTGGATCAGGTTGTTGTTGAGATTCAAGGAATGGACATTTTGCAACTGGGGATACAGACAATTTTTTTAAAATTTGTTTTGTGCCACTTTACTACTGTGTTTTTCATATAACTCATTGAAAAATATCATTTTCGTGCACAAGGAACATAGCTAATAAGTTGGCGATACAAAAAAAATAAATAAATCCCATACCCTGTCAATTAACATGTAATAATTTCTTTATACCTTTTAAAGCAATCCAATTTATGATTAGGAAAAGTATTTCAAATTTGATGTTAAAAACTGTTACTTCAGATGTTTCATTTACTTATCACAGAGGTATACATTTACTATTAGTTTTTCATAATCTTGAACTAGGTGAAAATGCATGTATTTCCTACACTACTTGGCTAGACACAAAATCATTTCTATAAAAAAAATTCATGGTAAGCAATACAACAGCTGGTAAACCTGTGCCATCAGAAGGAGACTCAACTTAGGTCTGTACAATAAAAAATTTTTTGGCTACTTATTTAAAATACAAATGGGTAGAAATAAAAGTCTCCGCAGTAATATAAGTTAACATGCAGCATTAATGCTCTTACCAATGGCTGCCACATTTAAGAGTTTATATATGTAACAAGTAATATACACATGTAACAAGTGAATAAAATATACAAACAAGGCATGCTAAACTTTAATTAGCAGACAGGACAATTAAGATTTGGACATTTCGGCTAAGAGCCTTCTTCAGCAAACAAGACAAAAGGAACTAAGACAAGTAACAGAGCACAGTAAAAAAACTTATTATCTTTTTAACAAGTAATATAGATATGTTACAGCTACAACTGAATTTGTTGTGGTAGGTAGTTGAAACACTTGTAAAGTCTTACCTCAGACATGTCATGGGGCAGTGCCTCGATTTCATAAAGTCTTACCTCAGACATGTTTTGGGGGCAGTGTCACGATTTTAAAAAGTCTTACCTTAGACATGTCATGGGGCAGTGCCTTGATTTCATAAAGTCTTACCTCAGACATGTCATGGGGCAGTGCCTTGATTTCATAAAGTCTTACCTTAGACATGTCATGGGGCAGTGCCTTGATTTCATTGTGTTTAAGATTTATAGAAACCAGGGAGTTTCTCAGTTCACTTTTCAGCAGAACAATGGGAAAGCAGGTCAGCTTGTTATTCGATAAATCAATGGTGTGGAGGTTGACCAACTGACCAAAGGCATTGGGTACATCAGGTATGCTGTTACAGCTAAGGTCCAGTACACACAGGTTTGGCAGTGCTATGATCTGAGGACTGACCCGTCTCAGAGAGCAATTGTTGACCTGCCATGGAGCATTAAACGGATTACTAGGTTCATAACGTTCTCTAGGTCTATTATATGTCATAAAATGTAGACATATGACATACATGTTTAAATCTTTTAGACTGGTGCACCATTAAAAAACACCTCAGTAAACATCACTGAAGACCATGTGTATTGGCTGTTCATGGTTTAGAGTTAGATGTTACCCGTACAATAAGATTAATGCAGATCTGTCATGTAAAGCAATGGAGTCTGACTCTCTGCTTGGATTTTACATTTAAAGAAGTTCTTGCAATCCTCAAGTCTAAGATAAAACTAAAATGACTCAGTATCCAGTCCCCTTAGCTCGTGGTAAAATTTAAAAATTCAGACATCCAATAAATAAAAATATGTAAAGAACCATGGTGATCAGGCTACCACTGCCTTAAACTATATCTCGACCTCTTTACTTGGTTTGAGAATTTCAATCACTTTTACTAGAAAAGAAAGAATGGATCCGAAAATAATGGGAAAAATTTAAAATAAAAATAAAATAATTTAAACAATTACACTTAACATGGAGTTGACGTAGTGGCTTTTTAAATCTTGACATTTTATGACTATTTTAGAAAACACAAATAAAAAGCATAAACAATTATACTGAAAACTGCATAATTATTTAGATTGTTCTAATAATGTGATAAGTTCATTACCTTAAGCTCCTGCAGTGACTTGGGAAACTGCATGGGATACTGAGACGGACACTCCACACAGAGTTTTGTAGCTGGTCTCTCAATCTGTTTTGCTGACGCTGGTGCAAGGACACTTAATGTCTTCTCAGGAAACACTTTTCCTTCTGCTGCCATCTTAACAAGTTTAACAAGCATGGCAAGCTGGTTAGGGTCTGCCTGAATGGACAGAAGAGATAGATACAAAGCCTGAACAGTCAGAAAAAGTATCAGATATTAAAATTCAGTATATGAGGACTTTTTCCCTACTTAATGTTAAATGTGGAGACAAGCCAGCTGTTTCAGAGAATAAATTAAATCTGTTGGATTTTAAAAAGTGGAGGCCAAAATAAAAATCCTAAACAATTTACAAACACTGGCTCTAATGGTATAATTATACAGTATTTAATGCAATGTCAGACAAGTACAATACTAAAGGGGATAATATTGACAAAACTAAAAATGATAAAGCTAATCAAAAAGAAAAAAACAACAGAACAAGGCATTTAGGAAGTGTCTTGTTCATGCCAGTGACATTTAAATAACAATAATATAATGATTTTAATCTGCAAGCTTTCCTTTTAAAAAATGCACATAATAATAATAGACTAAATATCTTTGCCAATTTAATTATGCATTACCTTGCTAAATGCAATATCTTCCGCTGGAGATGTTAATCGTATTGTTGCTTTCCCTTCATTAACAAATCTTGAAAATATCTGCTCTACATTTTTATGAAGCTGAGAGAAAAGTAAAAATCAGTGTTGCATAGTTCAGCACATGTTATTACTGTTATTAAGTAATTTGACGATAAATAAGAATTTATAACTTTTAACCTAACCTAATCACAGCTAAGATTAAGCATAAATTAACCAAAAGAACCGCGGAAACTTACAAAATATCTCGTCCCATTTCTATTCTGAGCTGTGCAAAGCATGATAAATACTTGGCTATTTTTAGTCTCATTTCCAGGTTTGCAGCCAATGGATACTTGTGTGAAAGTAGACCGGCCTGGTTTGCGCAGGTTGAGACATGGCAGAAGTCGATTTGAGACTTGAACTTCACATTTTAGTCGCATTTTATCTTCAAATTTGTACAACTATGCTTTAATGCACAAGATAAATGCTGGTGGGAACAAAAATAATAACTTTTAAAATGATTCATCATTTTTATGAATAATGACCATTGAAGTAGGTTCGGTTACCCAATTAGTCTTTAGTCTAAGTTAAGGCCTAGCCCTATCATCCCTATGCTTATCTTCTTCTTCTATAAATAATATATTAAGGGCCCATGATAAATGTATTGATCATTCTGGCTCCTATGTTATAATGTATCAGTATGGAGAGGGAGTTGCAATGTTTCCTGCCTGGTATTAAAGAGGATATTTTACTGATTGCAAGGGCTACTCAGCAAGGGTATCAGGAACTGGGGTTTGGAAGGTCTGAGGCAATAGAAACAAATGTGTCAAGTGTTGTCGCTTCAACTGTTCCTTTTGGAAGCTTGCTCCAGTCCTTTTGATTGTCTTGGGCAGAATATAATTATAAGTATAAGGTCAGAGTCAGAATGAGCACTTCCTGATCATGTACACTGTACTGTGTTCTTTTCTTGCTGATATGAGACGGGACTGACTGTCATGCATTCATGGCTTATTAATTATTTATTTAAAAGTATCAAATTCTTCATTATAGTATTAATAGTAATTAAAAGTGACCAAACAGCGAATGGTAAGAGTAACAGTAACGTCAACGATAATGGGTTATGAAACTGGAAGAACGGAAAGTAGTAAAGTAAAGGGGGCTTACTTATCAATTTTGTTTTTCTTTCACTTTTATTGGAAATGGGCATTTGTTATTTTTCTATGCCAGATTTCAAATTCAGACATTATTATTACCATTATACCTAACTTACATTGCATTGACTATAAAGTAGACATAACAATAATATGATATTGTGATATGAAAATGCGTCCCAGGCAACAATAGATCAAAACAGGCGCTAGTCTTCTAAATTTTGGATGCAAATTATGTACATCTCAGCAGTATAAAAATTAATCGTCAATTTTTTACCTCCACATCTGATCTCGTTAAAGATCAAGACTTCGAGATTTTGGGGACAGCTGACCGAAAAGGAAGTGCTGAAAATAAACAAATTACAAGGCTTTATTGATTTAAGATAACAGTCTCACATTTCGCATTCTACGCTTAGCCTTGTACAACAACAAAGCTAGGTTTTTTAAGTCTAGTAGCTCAGAGATCCAGTCACCAACATGTCAGAGTCTTATGGTAGGCTTATTCTAGTAGGCCTTGTAATATTACTCGTTCACGCCAAGAAGACAATTGTCGATAGAATTGTTTTACTAGTAGTACTAGTCTATTAAAAGTACTGTAAACTGTAAAGTAATGCGTCTAGGCCTAATTAATTTACATTTTGAATTTAGGTCCAGAGGCTAATAATAATAATAATTAATCGGCACTCTTGGCAGTTCTTGTACTACAGAGTAGTCAGAAAGACTAAGGCCAACAGTAATTAATAGTGTAGATACTAGAAAAGAAGTTCTAGTCTAGAACTATAACTCTGCTGTCTCAGGTCAGGTAATTTATTCCAAACTCAAACAAAAATTTAAAAGTATTTTTATGTAGAAGAAGCCTTTAAGAAAGCTTTTACTTTAAGTAGGCCTAGCTAGTTGATAAATGATGCTAGCTAGTTATTGCAATTCACAATAAGTGACACTGCCAAATTCAAATCTCAACAAATATATTAAGGCTTAGCCTGAATCCACTATTTCAAATACTAGGCAATCCCATGCAACAACCATGGTGAATGATAACTAATGTGTATCTCAAAATTCATATGTTCTCTGTCTATATGAAGGACATCCATAAATGACATCCCACAACTTTGTCAGATTTTCTACCAGTTCCCCCATCAGCCCATCATCACAAAGTTTTGCCCCCCCCCCCCCCCCCCCCCCCAATAATAATAATATCATTTACAGATGATGGCTCTGAGTCATGAGTATAAATGCAAGGTGTTGTTGTTAGCATAAATTTATGTTTATGAAACTTAACATTTATTTATAGGCCTGTGTAATTAAAATGGAAAAATGTAACAAATTGGACCCCTATAATTGTAATATAAATGTTGAATATTTTATTTTTTTAATGAAAATTATAGCCAGAATAAAAACATTTTCAAAAAGTCAAATCTGCTGTAGGCTACACCTTTAAAGTGTTATGAATGTTATTCCCATATAAGTACAAATATATTTAAAAAAAAATTTTTTTTAGTTGCACCGTTGTATTAAAATGCACTACTTAATAATCATTTTCTTAGGTTTCAGAAACCGGTTTCAGAAATCTTAACATATTTGCTCACATGTAGACTACAGTAGAGAAGAAAAATTTGGATGAATGATAAACTTAGATAGCTTAGTTAAATCATGATTGTAGATGTATATTTGAGGTGATTATTCCAGCATCCTGCAATTTATAAGTTCACAAGTATTAACTTTGAATTTGAAGGAAGCTTATCACTGATACTTTCAAAGTTTTTATGTAGTTTTGATTGTGAAGCCTATTCATCCATGAAGGCTAATAGCCTCTGGTAACATCAGTTAAATTTGAAATGGCTTCAAAATAAAATAGATTTAGTTAAACAGACGCTAGCAGGCTGATAACTGATTAAAATTGTTATTTTACCGGGGAACCTTCCCGTAAATTTTTAATACATAAATAAATACTCTGAAATAAATTACAAAATATTGTATTCATTTGTGACTATATTCTTAGATTAGTAAGTTATTTATTATTTTTTTAAAGTTTATTATGCCAATATATTTGCTGTTGTTAACCTCATCCTAGAATTCCTCTTCAAGTTTCTTGTGATTGGGAGCGCTGGAGCAGGGAAATCTTGTATTTTGCATCAGTTTATTGAGAACAAATGTAAATAATTTGAAATATTAGTTAATTAATTAAGTCAACTCAGAGCCCATGATAAGTACTCTTTTATAAAAATGTAAATGTGAAATATACCTTAAAAAGAACCAGTTTCTAAAAGCGATTACTCATTTTAATTTGAGAACTGCTTTTCTTTTTTAAAAAATTCAAAGCCTAATAGTTTGAATGTATAATAAATATTATGAGTAGGAAGAAAAAACATTGCCTAGGCCTACTGATTTAATATTTTTTTTAAATATTCTGTCTTCAGTCAAACAAGATTCTAACCATACTATAGGTGTTGAGTTTGGTAGTAAAGTTGTTAATGTTGGCGGCAAAGCTGTCAAGCTACAGATCTGGGATACTGCTGGGCAAGAAAGATTCCGGTAGGGTAAAATGACAGCTTTGATATGTGTAGTGTATGGATGTTGACATGTAATTATTGCTCACCAAATGTTATGTTTTTTTTTGTGAACAATGTGTTGTGTTAGTTTCATTTATGAATATTCTTGCAGCCATTAGGCTTGTGGCTTATTTGTGATGTGATTTTTATGTATCTGTCACATAGTGTTTAGACTGTCTTTGAGTATGTGCTTTTCATATTCATTTGGCAGTGGCTGCCTGACCTGTGTGTGGAAAGGTTGTGATGGCATTCATCTGATGAGCTGTCTTAAATGTTTGAATTATTATATGAACAGATGATGGATAACTCCGATTAAAATTTAGGTTGTTCTTGGAATAGGTCTTGGGGTCAGTTTAAATCAGATTAAGACATATAAATGTGCAAACGAATTAGATGAGAAAAACACAATCATACAGACTATCAATATGTTTATCATTGCATTGGTAAAATTGACGCTTTAATGATTCTACATTCTAGATTTGAGTTAAAATAATAGTTATTAGTTGATCTATTATGTGTAAGTCTTGTCTGTTAGTAATAATGCACATGGCAGAGTTGTTGAGATTTGATAACAAATTGATGAATGTTACACCACTGTGAAATGATTGAGTTAAAAAGTTGGATGCTTTTGAAGATATCTAGTTTATATCTCTGAGAATCTAAATATGTCTCGGTTCCCACAAGGAGACTTGCTATCAGTTTATTTCCTTTGTTTTAGATCTGTGACAAGAAGCTATTACCGCGGTGCTGCAGGAGCTCTTCTGGTTTATGATATTACAAGGTGAATACATTTTTAAAAATAAATGACATCATTTAAAACTATAAATTATGCATTTCTGCTTATGGGCCAATAAATAAATTGATACCCATGTCTACTGTTTGTTTGGTATAAACTTAAATCTGGGCTTAAATGTTTTGGAGAATAATTTTACTTAATTTGTATAATAAATTAATTAGCACTAGTAGTGATCATAACTTGCAAGTCTGATAAGTTATAGAATTGATTTACTTTGTTCTTTTTAATAACCAGCCGGGAAACATACAATGCACTGACAAACTGGTTGACTGATGCCAGGACACTGGCCAGCCCCAACATTGTTATTGTGCTTGTGGGCAACAAGAAAGATCTAGAGGCAGAGAGAGAGGTGACATTTATGGAGGCCAGCAGATTTGCTCAGGAAAATGGTAGTGCCCTCCTTCGTTTTACGTAATTTTACATTTACAAATTTTATCATAAGCCTATGTGGTCTTAGAACATGATTCTTACTTCAAGTTCAAGTACTGCATATGTGGTCATAGAACATGATTCTTACTTCAAGTTCAAGTACTGCAGGTGCCATTTATTGTGAACTCTGGCTATAGGAATCAGCCACATTTTTTATTAAAGCAATTATCAAAAGACCATAACCTTTTTATGAACATTGTCATATTTTTTGTTATTGGAATCACCACATAATGGACTCCATAACATTATTTTTTTTATTACCAATGCTCTTTATTTTTTGTGTGCAGAGTTGATGTTCTTAGAAACAAGTGCCCTCACAGGAGAAAACGTTGAAGAAACTTTCTTGAAATGTGCTCGATCCATCCTCACAAAAATTGAGTCAGGTAATGGGTCTCATGACAATGCTAAAAGAAAGTTATTTACAAAATAATTAGCATAATTGATCCCCTTGGGATAAATCCTAACTGCATCAATAAAAGCAATGGATGGAAACAATTAGGGCTTTAATAATAAAATACAATTTTAAAAAACTAGGCTCCGAAATTGATCCTTCAAAAATTTCTCAAACCAAAATTACTATCTATTTGCACATACGTTACTCTATATTTGCACCTATATTACTATCGATTTGCACATACATTTTATTCAAATCAGGACATCTCTTTGGAGAGGGTTGGTGAAATAATTGTAAGATTATAGATTTACTTGTAGTCCTTATTTAGCCTTTGTTTAATATCATGTAGTTTTTTTTTGGCTCAATGCAACCCGCAGGTCATATTTACTGACAGGGTTGACATGCTTAATATAAAACAATAAGTTTTTTAGAAAATACTTGGAGAGAAAGACTTTGTATTTTCCGCAGGTGAACTTGACCCAGAGAGAATGGGATCTGGAATCCAGTATGGTGATGCCTTGAGGAGAATGCACAGACAGGAGAAGTTGCAGCCACGCAGTGCCAGGCCAGACTGTGCTTGCTGAAGTTGAACTTTTGGGGGGGATCAGGGGAGGGGGAGGGAATGTTAATGGGGTTTAACAAAACATAAAAAAATTAGTAAGGTTAAATAACGTAAAAACTAAGGCTACAGAAGAGCTGTTTTTTTTCCCCCTATTACTGACTTTCTTCTCAAAATGAGTATTTCCTTTCATGAAAAAGGAAGCATGCCTCAATAAATAATGATTTAAAAAAATTGTTTTATTGGGAGCAGTTTGGGGAAAGTGGGGGTGGGGGGGGGTGGGTGGAGAAATTAGAGTGAAAGTTTAAGAAAAGATTCTGTTCAGTATTCATGTAAGGGAAAGACTGTTTCATTATGGGTCAAGAGGCCAGAGCTTAAGCTGTGTGTGTGAGTTTATTTCTTAAACTGTGGGATGGAAATTGTATGATTGCTATGTTATTCCTGAGGCAGGTCAAAAGTGTTTCTTCTTATCTTTAAAACAAAGAGTAATTTGATTCATTTGTCTGCTGTGTTATTATTACAAATAGGTTTGGTTGGATCTGGAGATTAAGTCCATGTGTATAGCAATGAGTTTTAGTTTTAATATTGTTTAAACATACATTTTGCACAATACAAATTATGTACCAAGGACAGAACTTCACAGGAATAACATTTATTAGATGAAAGGTTAAGGAGAATAATGTAGTGGTAATTCCTTGAAGGTCCCTATGTGTAACGTATATTTCAAAAGCTTTGAAACCCTAGCCAAATATCACATTATTAGCTTACATGGAAGAAATTCATCAATTTCTGTTAACCTGAAAGGATATATTTTAATAAATAGCAACATTATTTGTTTTGACTAATTGAAATCACTCATGTAAATATTGACATTGACTGAACTCACTATTTCATTTACATTTTTAAGGTACTGAGTTTTCAAAACTATAACAGAACTTAGTACATCAGCCATTTTTGTTGGAATATCCTATTTTATATATTATAAGAGAAATCTCATTTTTGTCAGTACCGGTACATATGACTGTTTTTGTGTATGTCCTCCTTAAACTTCATGGATCTATTTACTATATCAAACAGGTATCATATGTTTGATTAGTTAACATGCTTTTCAAACCAGGGATCCCTCACTTTATCATATACTTTTTCTAAATAAATCAAAACTATATTATGTTACCATTACTGAAAACATTTAATAGTCACCTGAGTTAATTCTAGCCCAGTTCTTGTATTAACCTCTAGTGCAGCTTTGCTAAACATAAGATTTAGTATGTGCATCAAATGATTTTAAAAAATGCAGAAATAAATTGTGGTTAGAGGGTATGTGATAGAAATTGACTAATAAGAAAGTCGAGGATTTTTGTGTTTCTTAAAACAAAGAAATAGAATTTTGTTGATGGTTCACCCTGTCCCCACTTTGATTTTGAATTTAAATGATAACAGACGTTGCTTTATTCAAGGCTATCGGCCCAATGGAATCCTTTTTAGTTTCAAATATTTTAAATAGTGTTCACCTTTAAGTTTATCCAAAATCAAATTAATTTAATATCCTATGAATAACATTTCCAGCCACAGGATGGAGTTGAATATTGTCAATTTTGAAGCACATGTTGAAGTTATCCAGTGCCATGATCAGATGTGCAGGTTTCGTCAATCTTTCACAGCTGTACTTTGATTATGAGGATGTTGTTGATAGGGCTTTATAACTTGTAATATAACAAAAGAGTTAGTGTTGATTTCTTTACTGGTAGGTCATTAAATGTACCCCTTAACACGCACAGTGTAAAGTGACTTAAAATTATTACTTTTTTTTTTTTAAAAGAAAGGAATGACGTGGTAAAACTTAAAGTAAGTTTTTTAGGAATAAATTTAAAAAGTAACGGAATGTATTTGCTGGCTTTGTATAATTTGAAATTTAAGCAGTGGGTTTAGTCCCTTTGTATGAACATGTAGATAACCAAAGGGAGAGAAATTTAATTAAATCTGCAGCTGATTAATAAGTTTGTGGACCAACTATTTTTTATTTACTTTATTGAAATTATACTTTATGTCAATCATTTTCATTTGCATGTGTAAGCACATCGGAGTTGTATAAATATTTCATTGCCACTTGCAATTTTTCATATATTCATTGGTGGTTTTAAAAAAATGTAGTTGGGGTGGGGTGGGGGGATGCATGTCAACAAGTGCCCTTTTTTTATTGGAGAACTTTGTTACAGTCAGCTGGTAGTGTGGGCTATCTCAACCACTTGCACTAAAGACGTTATCTTTCCAAAGTGGCCAGTTCCTTGAAGCGACCCGGGGGGGGGGGGGGGGGGGAAACTCTGAAAAAGTTAGTTTATTTTTTTTTGTTTTTTTACAAACAAAAAAATTATTTTTTGGGGGTTTTTTTTTTTAGGGGGGGGGGGGGGTTAAACTCTGAAACAGTTAGTTTAATATTACTTGACTTTTCAACAACAAAAAAGTTATCTTTGTGAGGTTTTATTTTATAGAGAAGATTAAGGCCAAGTGGTTGTTTCCCCCTTTCCAGTCTTCTGTTGTCTCCACAGAAACTTAATTTAACATTGATGTTCCTTCAGAAGTTACTGTTGTGACTACATAGCTTTCAAATTGTTTGAATTGTCACCATTGTTTGACCATCCTAGATTTTGTTGGCCTGCCACTGACCAGTTATCTCATATTGCTGCTGTGAACGTTTTGTTTTCCTGAATTGACATCTTCCACACCATGATTTTATTTTTCCTCTCTACTTTTACGTAAAACATTGATATCAAGGACATTGAGGAGTATCTGTGACATGATCAGCTGTTGATATAATGTACACAGATGGTAAACACATTATAACTGTCTGCCACAGTGTTGTGTGGTGAGCCCGGCAGTAGAAGCCCCTGCAGACATCTCTTATCTTCATGTTAAATGCTTGCGAAGGGCCATATTTTAATTTATGCTGCTTGACACATAGAAATTTTAACGTACTATACTACCATCCCCATCTTTTTTGTTATTCGGTGTTACTAAGCTATTAGCCTTAGGTAGAGCGAAGAGTATGCTGGAAAAGGGTGTCATTGGAGTTTTCAGTTTACCGTACATCTGTAGAATTGCCTGGTTGCAACTAAAAATGGTAACACTAATATTAAACATAAATGACAAAAGGAAGTCCAAACCCCTTCATCTCAACATATTATTGTCTTTACAAAAGAAGGGGAAAAAAGTACAAAGTAGATATCCCCAATTTGATTGAAAAAAATGTTTGTACATTTTAAAACCGGAATGTTTAAATTTTGTAAATATTTAAAATATGAGTGGGGGGAAAAATGGTCTAAGCATTTATATTCAAATTATAAAAATTATGTTTTAATGTTTTAGTTATTTAGTTAGAAATCTGTACAAAATGATTTATCAAAGACATTTTTAATCAAATAACTGCAAGTTCTCTAGCTCAAACCTCTGATGGTTTTGGAGAAATTTAATGATTTAGAATAGGAATTTATTCTGCAAACTTCAATTACAAAGAAAATATATTTTAAATCTATTTGATAAAATTATATTTGATATATTAATGACCATTAATATTAAATTTAAAATTGCTTATTTTCACTTCTAAAAATTGAAATCGACATCTTTCATGTCTAAAGAACTTGTTTAATAGTTTTACTTAATTCTGGTATTAATTTAATTAAAACTATTTGGTATCATAACTTGCATATCTGATAAGCTTAGCCTGATAAATTTGCCTAGAGCCAACAAAATAATTTCAAACTAGTATCTCGAGTTTTACAGTCTCTGAAATGGCTAAAAATGACTAAAGAGGAATGTTTCGCACGATCCAATAAAACTACATCCCGGTATCTAACTCTTCAAAATTGTTACGTGTGTTAGGAAATATTTGCTTGATTCAAAGGATTCATTGTGTACATCAGTTTTATTTATCAGCACTAATCAAATGTTGCAGGATATTTATATTCACGATCACCAGTTTTAGACTGGATTATCAAAGATCTTTCATTAAGTCGTTTTCTTTGTTTTTTTAAAACTTTTATTTATTATATCAATTGGTTATATATATATATTTTTTTGCTTTTCAGTGTATTTTTTGCTTTTCAGTTAAACACATATGAACTGAACGGAAAATCTACTGTAGAGAAATAGTTGAGAACATTAGGAATAGTTGACATTGTCAAACCAAAACAGAATAAAGCTGAGCCTAGAGTACAAGTGAGAACAAGTGACCAGATAAACAATTTTTATTTCACCTTAGGTCTATGCCTCTCAGATCTTTAGGTCCCCAAGTCAAGCTGTCCATCTTTGAATTAAAATTGTTTGTTCCACCAACCTAGTTTAAAATATTTCACTTCTCAAAGTCAACAGTTTGATAAGTTTGGTTCACAGGTAAAAATCCAACCATTTATGGCGACAAATTTTGTTTGCTCCATTTTTATAGTTCATTTTGTTACATAAGAGGGCCTATGAAAAATTGTTTTGGAAATGTTTATCTTATAGTTAGCAAAGAAAAGTTCCTGTGTTAAATATAAGTTACAAAAAGAGTCGTGAATTAATTTTTCTCATGCCAAAGCTGGTAAATTTAATTTTGAACATTCATATTCTGAATTTTAGTTTTCAAAAAACCGGGATTGCAGAGCCTTACGTTGATCATTTCCTTGGCTAGAATCCATGTTTTAAAAACGTGATCATTTGTAGTGGGATCTCACCAGTGTTATGACACTTGCTTGTAAACTTCACTTGATGGAAAAACATTCCTTATTTATTTTTGTATATTTCACTATGAAATTGAACACATGAATCACCGTTTAACCAGATGTTACTTTTATCAAATTCATCAAGCTTGAAAAAAAACTACTTGTGTTTTCTATTTACACTGGTATTTGATTAGTTTATAAATTATATTTGTTCACGGTTGTAGCAAACAGAAGATTTTAAAACTTACTTTAAAAAATACATGCACATACCCGGTATATTGGTTTTCAAATGTATGAGCTTTGTTCAGTTCTAAGATTTTTTTATTTCATTAATTTTTTTCCTCAGATCAATAGAAGAAACTAAATTTTGACAAATTAAATCCTCAACAATTTGGATATTCAAAATGAAGTCAGGCAAACTGGCCTGTTGTTTTCATGGCTTTGCTAAACACTTTAAATCTAAGTGAAGTTTAAGTTCATAATGTATTCAGCAACATGTTTGAAGTATCATTATCAAGCACTCTCAATCTCCATGTTTTATTTTCTGACTCTTTGAAAAACAAAGTTCTGAGAATCAATTTACTGTGATAATTTGAACACTGTGAAGACATGCTACGGCTAAGTACTGTGAAATCTGATGCTACATGGACACATTTTTAAAAACTAAATATGCTTTACATTTTGTATCTATATTTGTAAAAAGTTATATACTTTATGGCACAGACAATTGGGTTGCTGCGTGTTAAAGTTGTTAGACTGTTCATTAGCTCTGATTATATTAGCTGTTGAAGAAATAGTTGGTATTGAAAAGTCCATTTACCATAAGTTGATAAATAAGAGCATTTAAAGATTTAGTAAATAGTTAACATTTTGAGTTTATCACAAGTGAATAATAATCTGACCTGCAGTGCCATGACCTCAAAGTCATGGAGTGTACAAACATGAATGTTTCAATGTGTTCTAATAGAAGATGACATTGTCAATAAATGTAACATTTATACACTGGACTCCTGGTTTGTTCCATTCTATTTTTTTTCCATTTACTTGTAACAACATTCCTGCACCATGGTGACATTGTCTTAAAGAGTTTATTAATGACATCTCATTTCACATACAATCTGTTTCACTTTCACAGGTACAGGACATACTTTAATTTGACTCACATAGTGCTTGGGAAAGGGGGGGGGGGTGGAATTTTGTCTAACTTTGAAAAAATAAATTTGTAGCTTATTGCTACAACCATAATTTAATAGATCATGCTGTGCTAAACTAAAATATAATTGCACTAAATCTCTTCTCAGGACTGCATGATCAGATTGTTAATGAATTAAACTTAAACTCAGAGTACTTAAGGTGAACAGTGTCTTAAAATCCAGGTCTGATTCTTGTAGCAAGACAAAAGCAGAGATCATGTGACCCAAAATTAAAAATGACATGTGATGTTTCTCAAACAAGGTAACAACAATGAAAGAGTTTTAACTTATAAACTTGTCAAGATATACAACATTAACAAAATAAACACATTCAACTTGAGACAAAGTTTATTTTCCATTAAAAAAAATAAATATAGGCTAATTAATATTTTAAATTCAAATAGTAGGGGAAAAAGATCCTGTGTGTGTGTACAATATTTTACAAATGAATAACTTCTAAATCGGTTATAGAAAGAAAAATACACGAGTGAATAATTCTACAATACATCTTTTAAAAATCAGAGTAGGGTTTTGTTAAATATTTAAAACATTGCTGGATATATCAATTTTTAAATAGAAACTTTAAAGTCCTTTCTTGGTTGATTCAGCCATTCCCCTTAATGTTAAGTAGAAACAATGTTTCCTGGTGTTTGCAACCAGGTCACCCTAAATTCATAATTTTTCATGCAAAATGTGTATAAATTAAACATTTTTGGGGAAAGGAGTGCACCGACATTGCCCTGACACGGCTTTGGCTTGCCCTGGCCTTGTTTGAAATTTTAGATTAGATACTATATCCAATAATCAAACAAAACAGACAACAAATAGAATCAAAAATATATTTTACATAATTTGCATGGCGTGAGACATTTCCAGTATAGCTAGTCTTTTCAGGTCTTTGTTTCACTTTATGCCCAGTTTTATAGGTAGGCAATTAAATAGAATCAGATTTATATATAACTACAGCAGCTTTATTTTAAAAAAAAAATGAGCTGAGGAAATATCAAAGTGAAACAATGTTAAAATTTAAGATGAAGTAGCTATTTAAATTAACATGAACCTTAAATGCTAACAAAACAAAAGACATCCACCTCCCATTCTTAGAGAGTATCTGAACATACTTCAATCTCACTTAGATTGATACTTTCTTGTTCAATCTGTATAATGACTATCAACAGTCTCACATGTGTTTAAGATAATTGCTTAAAACAGGCCTGCACAACATACGGCCAGCACCCATTTTGCGGCCCGCAAAGTAATGAGATATTCTTTATTATTATTATTTTCTTAATAGCTTCATTTTCTTTCGGCCCGCACAAGTTTTTCATAAATTATGATGGCCCGCCTTACATTTTGAGTTATGCAGGCCTGGCTTTGAACAATGAACATTAAACAGCTGTGGCAATACAACTGATCTATTGTGGCAGTAAAACTGATCCACTGACGCTGCTTGGCATTTTCATTTGATTCTTTTCCCATTAAATAATTATATAATTATAAACCCTAGCAGGACTTTTAACAATATTTCCTGGAATTACTTAAAATGTTTTTACTGTCGACCTAGTTTCATTGTGTCTTAACTGTTACATTTAGTCAATAAACTGTCTATTTTTTTAAAATTTAAAATCAAGCGGTAGTGCACATTGATAAATGTGAATTTGTCACTAGATATTGTGGAACTGGAAGTTAGCTGCAATAAAGGGCAAAATGTCATTAAAATACAAAAATCATTACTATTTATATTTTTCATTCAATAAATAAAAAATGGTTTAAAAATTTATTTCACTTTTCATTTGAACATAGTGAAAAATGAATAGAAAGAATGAAAAAAAAAGTTATATACATGCTTATGTTAATGGCTGTACACTAATACCTTTTAATAAAATATACATAAATTTGTTCTTAGCTTTCAACTTATGTAAATGTTGGACACATATTTCACTGTAGTGTAAAAAAAAAATAATTAATTCACATGCACTACCAAACAGCCGCCCCTATGAACACCAGGTATTGGGGTCGATCTCGGTATCACAGCACGAGCAGAAATAGCTCTTTCATATTCCTTGGGTTCATAACCATGGAACTGTTTTGTGTATTCTGATTGCCAGTCAGCCATGTCCCGAGGAGCAGATGAGGTCAGTCTATGCAGCAGAGCCTCAGCAGTGTGAGCACTGATGACTTTTTCTTTTTGCTTCTTTTGATACAGATCTCTGCGGGTCTTAGCTTTTACAGCTGTAGGGTAAACCTAATTAAGATGGAAAAATTTTAATCACGTTATTGCCATTCGTCCTCTGTATGTCTTGGTGTGTAAGTCAGGGGTGGGCAACCTATTGTGCAGAGGGCTGCATGGAAATTATTATTATTTTTTGGTGGATCGAATGATAATTTTTTAGGAATCTGGAGTTCTATTTCTATACCATAAATTGAAAATAAGTTTGAAGGTAAGCTGTTGTAGAATTTTTAAGTTTACTCTGATGATTATTATCGGTATAGTTTGACTAACCGAGACAGTGAAGATTAATTTTCAAAGCTAATCATTCATGAGTTGTACATTTTACAAAAATTGTAAATCCAGTTCATTGAAGGTCTTGCGTTTAAACATTTCAGCGGGCCATAAGTTGCCCTCCCCTGCTATAAATTTTGGTTCTCTAACCAAATGATCTCAAGTATCACTTTTTATTATCCGTATATCATAACCAAATATGTTCACTATTTACCAGTGTTAAAATATAGTGTTCTCAAGACTTTGAATATTTAAAAGCTGTTTCTTCTCAGATTTAAGAAACAACTCATCTTCAATGTACTTTTTGTGTGGACATTTATTGAACTAGATAGTATTGGTATCAAAGGCATTATTTGGTATAGAATGTATTAATTGGTATCAAAGGCATTAAGTCATTAGTGGTATAAAATGTATTAATTGGTATCAAAGGCATATTTGTTATAGAAAGTAGAAAGGACCCCTTTTTTCAATTTATTTTATTTCCAATTTTTTGTTATAGTTACCATAGCAATGTCAGTAAAAGATTTTACTTCCTGAAATATGATTAAAATTTTTCTCAAAACTTAACACTATAATAAGAAATAATGATATCACCACTCACATCTGTCAGAGATCGAACATTATATGTCCTGTGATTTGAGAGACTTTCTTCCCTATCACCAATACCATAAGAAGCAAAAGGTGGCTTGACACAAGAGGGTGGTCTGGAAGATGGGTGATTTCTTTTGGGTTTACTTGAGTCTGCCAGATGATCAGAATCAATATTTAAAAGTCGTGGAACATGAACATCATGCTGACTGCTACTGGCTTGGCCTGAAGAGAAATACAAAGGTAAACTGAGTTACCGGGTATTAATTTTGTAAAATGGTCATTTGGTCATGTTAAAAAAATAAATTGAAATTTAATTATATCCTTCTTGGAAGTATCCCTAACAATATTGTGACTGGAAACTATTCTATAAGAATTTTCAGATGAACAGTGTGGTAACACAGCTTTAAGTTTAAGTAAACTTTATCAGTAAAAATATTTTTTTCTCATAACGGTGCAATCAAAAGTTTTAAAAACAAAATAAAACAAACTGCATACCTCTAACAAAGGATTTGGGTTTCCCATTTTTGTCAACAGAAAGTTGCTCTCTACTGTTAAGTAACAAATTTCTCTTCTTTTTAGAGTATGTTTTGTTCCTTAAGTTGAACTGTGAATTACGCATGTTCTCAAGGTGTGTATTTTCATAAGTTTCAATCTCTTTACTTAAAGAGCGCTCTGCTTCTTCATCTGTAAACGGATGATCCATGACTCTCTTTAACACATCTTTATCATCCCTAGCTTTGTCCAATACCACAGCTGATTTTTTTTCTGACCTTTCCTTGTTGTCTGAGTTTAAATTCAGAGGGTCGCTTTCTAAAGATATTTTAGCAAAATCTGGTATGATTAAGGGATTCTCAGATCCTTCTCGTTTCTTCTTTCTAAAGGCTTCAGATTTTACTTTGGAATCAGAGAGAATCTCAGCCATTGAATGGTACTGCTCTTCTGGCTCTGAGGGTCTGTATTGTTTAGATAATATTTTAGAGGCTTCATCATTGCTATCAGATGAGTTGCCACACTCCTCTTCAACAGGGTCTTCCCAGAATAGTGGTGTATGCATAAATTCTCTGTCCCTACGCTCATTCCGCAGAGTCAAGTTCTCCAAGTAGACATCCTGATACTTCTTAATAACAGATGCTTTGTAACGGTTTTGATATTCTGACTTCTTGTAAACCATTGTTTGCTTTTTAAATATCAATTTCAATGCAAGAAGAAAAAAAAAAGAATGTTTTATATAATTAAAGCATGAATTGGGAAAAAATGATATATGTAATTAGATGAAAAAGAAGCAATCTTTTGTATATATAAAAAAACATTTTTCTGTGGATATTTTAAAAAGTATCAAAGTGATTTAATGAATATATGAAACATTTTTTTTTAACAAAGTGACAGTGCAAAGCACAATGCACTCTAAGATAACTTTATGATGTCCATGGCCCAATCCTAGGTCTCTCTTTAATTAAGTTTAATGACTATTCCCAAAGATCAAGCACTTCCTTTCCCCTTCTTACAAACAATTCCCATCAGTGGAATATGCCAGTTACAATAATTAGCTTTTATCTTTTCTTCCATATAATAATAAATATTCAAATATTAACAACGACTTTCGTAATTTTGCAGTGAGAGTGATACTTTTTACCATAGATTAAAAAATGGTGACAAAATAAATTAAAAGTCAGTCAAAAAGAAGCTTAAATCTTATTGGTCCAAAATGACATTTGGCCCAAAGTTTAGGAACAGTAGACCATCTAAATATAAATTCCCATCTATTTTACAGTACAAATTAACAATGACACTTGTTGTTTGGGTTTCAAGCTAACCCAGAAATTATCAAGAAGGCAAACTTTGCATGCATTCAAAACATTTGATGAATTTAAATGAAAATTTTATTAATTATACTTTTCATTTTTTCTTTACACTTTTTTATGTTATAAAATTTAAATAAAAAAAAAAAAAACTTGTCCTGCAGGTTGGCATGATGTATGTATCACTATTTAACTACATAAATTGAATTGACTATTTAGGCTCCACGGCAGCATCCAGGTCGTTAGAGGGATAGATGCAGCTCTTTTTTTAAAATTATCCACATATATATAATGGCATGGCACATATTATGGCATCTTAGGTATATTTAAAATATTTTCTTAGCAGATATATTATTTATTATATATAATTGAAATTAATTAAAGTGGATCCTTGCTTGAAAAAGGTTGCAGACTCCTACTCTAGCCTAACAAAACCCTAGTAGGCCTAGTCTAGCAGTGTAGGCCTCAAATACAGTACACTAGCAGTGTTCATAATAATAAACTAATTAATAAAGCCTACAATGACATTGTTTAATTCAGGCTGATTTCAGGCCAAGTGATGCCATGTAAAATGTAAGACAGGGCCTAGTAGACCCATATCACCAGTAATAAACAGTATTTTATTGTATCATTTGACTTATCATTTACTGAGAATGAGTCATAATAATATATGAATATGATTTCAGACTGTAATTATTTAAGTTATGATGAAAGTTATTTTGTAAGAGAAAGAGTGTATAAGATTAAGACATGACTGACATAGCTGCCACATGGCTAGGCTGCACAAGGCTTCTTCTGCAAGTAACTTGTAGCTGGCCTACATTACTACTTAATTTTATGATTACTAGACTCTAGGCCTAGATAGATAGTAATAGCTTTACCACTAGCTAATTATAATATGAATCAGAATATTCTGAAGGCAGCAGATAGCCGGTTAGGCAATAGGCCTAAATTTGTATGCTAGCAGCTAGTGAAGGAACTATCCACAATTTAGTTTTTCTAGCCCCGGCATAGGCTGTCACAATCATACTCATTAGCTATTTAAATTTAATTCATTATTTAAGGATGTAAATTAATTAGTTAATTAGTAATTAACAAATATTCGAAATTCGTGTTTAAACATGTCTCACCTGCTTTTTTCTTAGTCTTAGACTTAGTTTAGGTCTAGGATACAGAACATTAACTTACAGGTTCATTCGAAAATTCATAATTTAAATAAACATAACATTTATAATAATTATAACTTTGAATAAATAAATTGAATTCTTGAAATCAAGTTTAACTAATGCGTAGTAATAGTAAAATGTGTTGACATTAAAAAGTATAGTCGGCTCGTTTGTTTTCAAGCTATACGGGTTACTAAGGTGAGTAACTCCGCATAAAAATTTGGATTTCCAACAATGAATGCATTCGTATTTAAAATTAATTATAACTTCTGCTTTTCCCATGAACGTACCGGTACTTCATGTTTTCGGGGAGAAAAACAAAAAAAAGGGGGTGGGGAATACCTAACAATGGCTTGTCACTAAAAAAAAATTATTGAAACAGTCCTGATTCATATAGCACTTTAATTTTATTAAATCATGAACATGAGAATAATGCAGTATTTAATTTAAACAATCAAATAAATAAAACAATCAATTTAAAAAAAAATATATAAATATAAGGAGTAAAGGTTCATGTAAAGCTGCATTCTTTTTACTCAAATGTTTTTACCAATAAGTAACATATTTATTTGAATTTTGAATTCTAAATCAAAATTGTTATTTGAAATTGTTATAAAATGATTTTAAATAGTACCTATTCAATTGCTGTAGATTTAACTACTAATTGAATTTAGTTTCTGAGAATTTTTATGTTTTAAGCATCTTCCTCACCACAGTTTGACCCAAAGTGATATCAGAACTGGAGACTTGTGGTGCTTAATATGTGCTATGCAAAGTTATTCATTGAATTCATAACCCTGACAGCAACTGCTCCAAGAAGTTGGGTTTCCTTCATTCAAAAGGGTTGTCAAGTTTGAACACCTTCAACAAAACTGTTGTTAATTACTATTTCTAATTAGCAAAACAAATACACAAATAAAATTGAAATATGTTTTGTCTATACACAAATACAAGTTGTTTGATAGGCAGCACACTGCTTGCAAATAACAAACATTAAAGGTAAGAGACATCAGGGTATTCTAAGAGTTAGTTTATAAACTTTACCACTACAGCTATAAAATAAAATTATTTTCAGCTTATCAAAGCCAAACTCAAAAAAATTAACTGAAAATTGTCCACCTCAAAAAAATGATAATGCATCTAAAAATGTTTGTTAAAAATTTAATGCAATATTTTACATTATAAAGCAAACTGTAAGCAATCAATCATATCAAAATAATATCTCTAGGACTGAACTTTGGTCAATTTTTCACTAATTTCCCAGAGTTTTTTAACAGCCATTTCATCTAAAGCATTTGGAGGATACCCACTTTCCTTGCAATTTTTCCCAATATAAGTTCCAGATTTTCCTTTGAGTTCTTCAGCGACAGCGCAGTAGACTATAGATTGGCATCCTTCGTCTGCATCCCTGAGTCCTAGCATCACTGCTATGGGCCCAAAAACACGAGCAACAAAACCAGAGACAATGTGACGGCCTAGATTAGTGGCAACCATCCCAGGATGAAGCGGAAAAACTTCAACACCAGACCCTTTCAACCTTTCATGGAGCCCCCTCGCAAAAAGTAAGTTTGCCAGTTTGCTATCAGAGTAAGCTTTGACTTTGTCATAAAATAGCTGGCTGTGAATGTCGCTGAAGTTAATGCTCCCCCTTTTACTCAGAGCTGATGAAACAATAACAATTCTACTGGGGGATGAAGCTTTGATCCTTTCTAAAAGAAGTGAGGTTAAAAGAAAATGACCAAAGTGGTTCACTCCCATCTGCATTTCGAATCCATCTTCAGTTCTCATGTATGGACACTGGAACACCCCAGCATTGTTGATCAGAACATCTATCTTAGGTTCTTCAGATAGGATCTGAAAACAGAAATTCCTAATGGATTCCAGTGAGGCCAGGTCCAATTCTTTGGGCCAGACCTCAATATTGCCAGTTGAAGCCTGTATCTGCTTTGCAGTATCTTTTGCAGATGGTAGACTCCGACATGCCAATATTATTTTGGCTTTTCGTCTAGCTAGCTCAAAAGCAGCTGCTTTTCCAAGGCCGCTGTTGGCTCCAGTGATGATAACTGTCTTTCCTGACATATTAGCCTTACTGGGACATTTTCTACAGTATCGTACATATTGTCTCAAGAGGGCAGCTGTTACAAAGCCAATAAATGCACTAACTTTCCACCATGCCATCTTTTATTTAATATCTGAAGAAAAATATAGACTAAATGAGTTAAAATTAATTGTTTACATATACAGTGGAACCTCTCATAACGAGCACCTCTCATAACGAGTAATTTGCATAACGAGCAAAAAAAAATGTGAAGAAGTTGCTCCCTTAACGAGCGATATTTGGCATAACGAGTTACACAGAAAAGGGAAGTCCCTTTTTCCTGACATTCATTTGTGAGCCAGGACTTTGGCGCCGATGCATTAGTCCAGCGGTTCTCAATCTGTGATTCGTGACCCCTTTAGGGGTAGCGCTCCCAAGGGTCGCCTTAGATTATCTGAAAACACATATTTTACAGCTATGAAGTAGCAAAGAAAATAATTAGGTTGCTGGGGGGTCGCCAAGACACGAGAAACTGTATTAAAGGGTCGCGGCACTAAGAAGGTTGAGAACCATTGCATTAGTCTGTGTTTAGCACTCGGTCAGTTAGCGTATTGTTTTCGTGTGTGATCACCAGTTTTTACAAATTTTGCATTCAGACAGTATTCGTAATTTTTTTATATGCAAAATGTAATAGCCTATGCTAAAATGTCTTCGAAAAAAAAGCCACAAGAAGACAATCATAAAAGAGAAAAAATAACTGTTGAAATGACACGTAAAATCATTGAAGAGCGAGAACAAGATGTGAGCGTGGCTATTCGTGCTACAAATTTATTCAAAGATAATGCTGTGACACATTTTCGTCAAATTTTGAAGCATCTGCAAAAACAAATGTCTTTAGACAGTTTTCTAGGTAAAAAGGATTAATTAATTGTCATAAATTCATATTTTTATTTACGTTTTTTGTTTCAAATCTAAATTGTATTTCAAGTTGTTACACTTCTTAACAATTCATAAGTAATTTTATTTGAATAAACGTTAATAAATACTTTTGAAAAATTTGTATTTTTTCAGCATGGAAAGCATTATTGTATTTTACATTGATTTGTATGGGAAAAATTGTTTCGTTTAACGAGTGTTTCACTTAACGAGTAAGAGTCTGGAACGAATTAAACTCGTTATGAGAGGTTCCACTGTATACACTTATTTAGTTAAAAGTTATCTATTTGAGGTTCAGAATGCTTTATTTAAACAAAATTAAATTGTTATAGTCTATGTAATGAATTTATCATTTAAATTCATTAATTAGTATTAACTTTTCAAAATTTTAATTTATTTACAAACAATTTTTTTTTATTCCATGTAGATCATTAATAATAATAGGCAAAAGTTCAAAATTTTAAAATTGACTTAAATTGTCAATTAAAAATTTTTCAAAGAGAGGCAATGGTCTATAGCCAGATAAAATATGAATGATGCTTATCAATATTCAATAGGCCTATAGCCAGGCCTACTCAATGACAAATATGAAATTATTTGTCTTGACACGTCACTTAAATTAACTAATTTAACTTATTAAGTTAAGTATCTTAATTAAACTTGAAGTTTCAATTTTTCTAGCTTAATCATTCACATTTATTGTGATTATGAAGTTCATTGTCTCCTCCTATTAGTCTAGCAGGCCAGATTCATAATTATTCACAATGATGAATTATGATCTATGATTTAGTTAGGCCCTTAAATTATATGACACCTATTGTATGACAGTGACAGCTATGATGACTACCATGTATGAGCCTGGATAAATGTCTACTTTAGCATCCCAAATTTTTTTATTTGCCTACCACCAATTTCACAACAAAATCAGCAGATGAACATGAGGAACAACTTTGTATTTATTATAGTCTATTTCAAGCACAAAATGCAACTTTATTCATTTTTCAACTTTTTCAAATGCACCTTTATTGAAATTTCTTAACAGAGGAAATTCCAAGCTTGTGGACTGGAGTTCAATCCCCAGTCAAAGTCTGGACAAGCAAAAACATCACCAGCACCCCGGGTGGATGGGATTTGTTAACCTTGGATGGCAATTCATCTTAAAGAAGGAAAAACCTGAATTCAAACCCGGAGATGGAGTCCCGTAAATCCCAGGCCTTGAGATTTCATCCTGTAAAGTCTACATCATTGTCACATGGTGAGAAACGGATGCCCAAAAAAAAAGTTTAAACTGGATAACTTTGGGAAATCCCAACCAGGAATTTATAGAAAAAAATATTTTTTTTTTAGTTTTATGCCTAAGTAAAGAGTTAATTCACTTTAACCAGGAATTTGCTGTTTAAAAAATTTAATAATTCTCCTTTTTTTAATAATTTAAAGATCACAATTTTAATACTAAAAAGTAGAAAATAACAAAAATAATCTTTTCAAAAAGACTTAAAATGAATTTGTGTAGGTATGATGGGAACTGTGTATGACTAGTCCAAAATTATCGCTTTATCTTTCTATTTACTCTCATCCACATGGTCTCAATATTTAGTGTATGAACATCACTATCATTAAATGGGCCCCCACCTGGGCCCCTATTTTAATTTAAATGTACTATAGTTATAGTAGTGCAATTAAGTTGTATAATTTTTCATTTAAATTTAATTTAGAATGTTCCAGAAGGCTCTATATTGTTCTACGGCACAGGGATCTGTAACAGGATCTAAGAGCTTATTTGAAAAAAAAGCACTGAGCATGATCCCATCGAGGAATAAGATCCTAATGGGGAACAAGATCTAACAGTAAACCTGAACTCATTGGCTACGCGATACCATTGGGTAACAGGATAAATCGGGGAAACAGGATAAAATCAGAAAAGAGAGTCCCTAGGTGGAACTGGATCCCACAGAGAACGGTATCCTAACAGGATCGGTAGCCCACCGGGATCCACCGAGATTGGGTTTCCACTGGGATCGACATACCAACAGGATCGGGATCTCAACGGGATTTGGATTCCCCCTGGAGTGATCCCACCAGGAAAAGGGATTGCCCCAGGATCGGGGTCAGAATGGGATTGGGGTCCCTTTGGGATCGGGGTCTTACCACAATTGGGGATCCTAATGCAAGCCCATGAAACGCCGGGTATATTGCTTGAAAATTATAAACTAGACTTAGGCTGTCTTGAGTCTTAGAGCTGTCCCTGCCCTGAGCCTGTGTGTGTGAACTGTGTATGTGGGTACTGAACCATAAATCGATCCCTATGTCTATCCTGAACCCTAAATCAAAATCAATCCCTATGCCTAACCCATGGGAGCCCGCAGATAGGGGCAAGGGGGGCACTTGCCCCCCCTGGATTGATTGGATAAAAAAAATTTAGACAAAAATAGACAAAAAATTTATTAAAGTAAAGAGAAAATAAAGAGAAAGTAACTAAGCTGATGTCCTGTCCGTTCGTTCACCATACACATACGCTACAGTAAATTAAAACTATATTAAAACATTACTAAAAAATAGACAAAAAATTTATTAAAGTAAAGAGAAAATAAAGAGAAAGTAACTAAGCTGATGTCCTGTCCGTTCGTTCACCATACACATACGCTACAGTAAATTAAAACTATATTAAAACATTACTAAAAAAAATGTGCCCCCCCCCCTGGAAAGTTAATCGATTTTTTTGCCCCCCCCCCCTAGAAAGTTTTCTGCGGGCGCCCATGTCTACAACAAAATGATCCATGATACGAATCATAAAATAAGTATTTTATATAAAAAGAAAACTAATTTTAAAAAATTATTTTAAACGTCTTTTTGGACAATAAATTGAAGATTTATCCTTTAATTAAGTCATTTAGATCTATATCAATACATATTTTTTTTTAAAGAAAAAAAACTAACACTTTTAAGAATCAAACTTACTATCTACAACAAAATGATCCATGATACGCCTATTTCGTCTATGACAGGAATTTGTAGGCTATTCCTTATTTGTATATGAATATGCAAAAGTAATTTTGAAAATACGGTAACTTAACTGATAGTCTCTTTTCTGTACAGCTCTTTTATTTAAGAAAATATTAGGAGCTTATATTTCCCATGATGCAAAAGTGTTTCCCAAATTCCTGTTAAATTTTGTTGACATCGGCAACCAACTCAAATTACTGGATTCATTTGTATAAAAAATCGTTATTAAGATGTACGTAAAAAGTGTTAATATACTTCTACGTAAAAAGTATTAATATTCGTGAGTCCTTTATGAATTGCAGATAATCTAATATAGATCAATGCATTTACCCTAATATATACACTGTTAAAGCTATTTGATATTTGCCTTGAATCTTGATATTTTTGGACTTTACTAATTTACTAAGTTTACTTTACTAAAGTATTACTCAACATTATTCATTATATAATTATATAATAAATAGGTAGACCAATAAATAATATTTATAAAATAGTTAAAAATATTTTTTTTCAGTTCAGAAAGGCAAATAGTAACAGTTTTATTTCAATTCAAATATAAATGCTCAATCAGATGCTATTGCGAGCTGTTAGCCTATGGCCTAGCCTATAGGCCCATAGCCTATATCCTAGACGTATCATAATCATCATATGTTTATTTGTTGGTCATTTTAAATTCTAAATTAGCTTTCAAGTAAACTCACCTCATATTATCAATTATGCATAAAAATGCATATTTTTAAAAAAATGTTAGCCTAACCTAGTTAAGTTAGGTAAGTTTTTTAAAGTGAACTTAGTGCTAGGCTTACTGAACTTGGCATAGGCCTAATTCCTAATTATTAATTCATAAATTACTTTAGTACAAAATTACCTAGCCTCAAATCTAAACTTAAGGGTAGCCTATAATTTAAAAATTTAATTATTGAAGGTTTTTACTTGTTTAGAATTCAGTATAGTAAAGTAAAAGCAGTAAAGGGCGAACTCAATAATTAAATACAAACAAATTTGATGTGATTCTGCCTTTGCATCTTTGTAATTTTTAAATTTCTTTAAAAAAACAAAAAAAAACATTGTACAACATGTGAATGTGACTGTTTTAATGATAGGGCTTTACTTTTTGTTTTACAGGAGTCATCGGCCTCCAACTAGTAGCAATCGCCCTACAACTAGTAGACCAATAGGCACAGGTAGAATTATTGCAAAATTTAATGTACAACATTTTAAATCTTTTTAAATATCACACTGAATCTTACTAGAAACATTTTTTTAAATTTTGTAAATAAACAAGACTTGGTTCTGTTTTCCTTATTCTTGAGTATATTGAAATTTTAGATTAAGGCTGTTTCGAATATTCAGATTGGGACGTATTTACACAAATGCAGTATCCTTTTTACATTAAGTTAAATATATTGAGCATTTTAATTTGGGAAACTTTAAAAATTCAATTATTGTTTACTTGAATTAACTTAACAATATTTATGTATCTTTTTAAAGCAATGGGTCGACAACCAGGAACTGCAACAAGGCTAACTACTGCAATGGTAATCAGCTCTGTGTAAAACTATGATTTATTAGTGTAGTAGTAAAAATAAATCTATAATTTCTACAAAGGCCTTAATACTATTTTTTTCAATTTGTAATTATTGAGCAAAAAGTCTTGATTCTATAATTTCTGTGCACCCAAGAGCAACAGTTGAGACGAATACACGGACACATTTGCGTCTATTACCTCCTATCTTCCAACCCCCAGTTCATAATACCTTCGCTGAGTAGCCCTTGCAACCACTAAAGTATCCCCGTCGAAATCCTTTCACAGCTACATCATGAACCCCTCTACAAACATAGAAGCCAGAATGATCAATACATTGATCGTAAGCCCTAAAATTATAGAAGAAGAAAGAGAATAAAATAATTTATAAAATTGTATTAAATTAAGAGTAAATTTCATTTGGTTTCTGTAGAAAAAAAATCTTTAACATTATTGTATTGATGTTTAAGTTTGTATCACATTTAAACAGAATCCACCTACGGCACGGCCTGGCAGCAGAGGTGGACAAGTTGTCGGAGGTATTGGTGAGTAAATATATGTTGTTTCCTGACTATTTATATATGTAAATGACCATAATATGTATATATCACCATAAAATTAAGGTGTTTTCTTTTCCTTTATCTTTACAATGAAATATTTTATTACTTTGGATTTTTTATTTTAAACACTGAGTAGGATTAAAGGCACAATGTGTTTCTCAGCTCCCCCCCCCCCCCCTTTTTTTGCCCCCAATTTTACTAAATAGCATTAGTAATTTTTGTTTTCAGCCTTGAATGCCCAAGTTACTGTTGTGGACAGACCCACCACTCAACAGGGTCTAGGAGGCATGAAGACAGCAGCTAGAGGTTGGCTCATGATGTAATTGTGTCTTAACTAAAATATATACATATAAATATATGTACATAGATATATAGATATATTTAAATTTATTCTTTGTGTTTGGAGGGGTGGGGGTGCAGATTTTATAAGTCTCAAGAGAGATTTAAAACCTGGGCTGTTACACAATAATGGACTGCAGCTAATCTTTTTCAACATGAAGTTTATGCTGATTAGCTTCTACAGGAGAATTATTCAATGTGATTTCCTCAAATAAAGTTAAGGCTGCCAATTTTCTTTTAAGCTGATGTTTTTTTGTATTTTTAAAACCTCTTGATAAGGTGGTCGACAGGTTCAAGACAAGACTTATTATTTGGGCCTCGTAAGGTAAGTTTACATCACTTAATTCTTGTATTTTTTAAGGTGAGTGTTAGTATGTTTTAATAAAAATAATTTCTCTTTTGTTCTCAAGTCAACTCTATTTATTTTATGTAATTATTTCTTTGCATTATTTCTTAACTAAAGCCTTATCAGTCGATAATTTCATATTTCCTCCTCTCATTTCAGGAGTAAAATAAATGAGCTGCATGCAGAAAATACCAAGATGAACAAAGAAATTGACAATGCCAGTGATGAGAACTCAAGCTTCCTGTCCTATGAAAAAAGGTTTTTGTTTCAACTCTCATTTTCTCTAAAGTGTCAATATTGGGAAATTTTGGATTTGGCCAGATTAGTTGAACCGTCACTCTCATTTTTATACATGTTTTAATTATCAAATGATACTGCTATCATCATAAATCCCTGATTACCCCATGTTGTTTCAGAGCTGAAACACTTGCATCCGAGATTAGAGATCTGCAAGGGGAATTAGGAGATTACAACACAGTAAGACAAAGTTTTAGTTGTGATTGTTATTTTATGTTTTTGGTTATTAGAAAGTTAGAAAATGTTATTTAAAAATTTTTCTCTTAAAAATAAGTGAAAAATTTAACAAAATATAACTTTAGAAATTTATAAAGAACACAAGTCTTGTTTTTTTTTTAAACCCGGCTTCAAGAGATTTAATACCAATAATGGGAATTACAAAAATAAATTTTAATGTTTTAATGGAAGAAAAAAAATAAAGATGTTAATTAAATTTTAGTATTTAATTTTTTCAGCTTGTTGATAAACTGACAACTGATGAAGATATTCAAGATGTAGAGTTTGATTGTGACAATGTAAGTACATTGGTAAAAACTTTTTAAGCATGGGAAGATTTTCAAAAATTTGGGTGCTTCATTATTGGATAATATGGATGGAATGAAACATATAACTTTGTAAATTCACAAATTATGTTTAATACTTCAGGACCTGGGGTTATTTTTTAAATGTGTGTCATCAATAAATTGGGTGCTTCTTTTCTTATGAATGAAATAAAACTTGATATTTTTAAATAACCAGGTAAAATGATTTTTATGAACAACAATACTTTCTCTCCCCTACAGTTAAAAGCAGAGAATGATAAAAATGCTAAAAGAATGGAAGATGGATTTGAGGTTAAGAAACAGTGAGTACTAGCAGCCAGCACTACTTAATCTTGGTCGAGTCTTGTATGATAGAATTGTAAATAGATTAAATAAATATATCTTGGAATTCAATAAAGATTAAGTAGATTACATCTTTACCGTAACTCTTATTAATATTAGGGATGTTTTTTTCAAGGTTATAATGACATGAAGTGTTTACATTTATAAAAAAGTTATGTTATTTCAATGATCGTTTTGCCAGACGAGAAGATCAAATCCAAATGCTGGAGACAGAATTGGATCAAGAGAAGAGAATGGCAGACAATCTAGTCAATGATATGGTCAGTACTTTGTTGGACAAATTATTTGTTTCATTAATTTGTTAACCTGCCTCCGAGTATCACTGATTTACCAGATCAGCTATTTTAAAATGTGATGTGTTATGACTCTGCCTGTCCTGCCCAACACACTTCAGGCATTTTAAGGATTGTGATATATCCCTGAAGTATTCCTATTCACTGACAAATGTCTGTGAAAATATACATGATTTATATTAGTATATAAAATTTTGCAGAGGGTCTTCTTAAGAAAAAAATGACCCAACTATGTAGTGTCAATACCCCCACTATGTAGTGTCAATACCCGCACTATGTAGTGTCAATACCCGCACTATGTAGTGTCAATACCCCCACTATGTAGTGTCAATACCCGCACTATGTAGTGTCAATACCGCACTATGTAGTGTCAATACCCACACTATGTAGTGTCAATACCCCCACTATGTAGTGTCAATAGCCTGATACTGATATGGTAAAATAGTGTCCATACCCTGATATGAAAAAAAAAAATCCATCCAACTACTGAAACTTTTAGTTCATTGGTAAAGTATAAGAATATTCATGTTAACCTTGCATGATACCCTCACAGGAAGCCAATGACAGACAAAGATACATGCAGCTCAAACACTTGAATGAACATTTGTTGAAACAGTTGGAGAATGGCCAGCAGGAGCTCGACATGCTCAACTCCAAGATGGAAAACTTGCAAGAAGTGAGTCATGCCAGACACTGAAGATGAGTGGAAGAAACCATGAAACACTTCTGATAGTTAAGATCTTATTTGATGTCGTTTTATCAAATTTTGTTAACGTATTAATGCTGTTTAAATATTTACAAATGGTTATAAATACAGAAAACTTAACACAAAGTTGTCCTGTGTCTGAGAAGTCTGTCCTGTGTCTGAGAAGTCTGTCCTGTGTCTGAGAAGTCTGTCCTGTGTCTGAGAAGTCTGTCCTGTGTCTGAGAAGTCTGTCCTGTGTCTGAGAAGTCTGTCCTGGATTCTTTTTGTTTTGTTCTCCTCCACCCACTCCTTTTAAAATCAGTTGCAGTGAAATTACTCCCCCCCCCTTTTTTTCACCTGCATTAACTCTCTAATCACTAATGGTCCACCACATTCCTCATGCTGTCATCTCTGATGCAACACTTCAGCTAGGTTTTAATTTCTATCATTGTTAGTCTTTGTTTGTTTACTGAAGAATGCTTCTTGCATTATTTTTTTCCTTTTTTTTTTTCAGGTTTTACCATACCTTGTTTCACATATTTCTTTTTTTTTCCCCCACGTAGATAAAAATATAAATTTCTTTTTAAAAACTCTGCATTGCATTGATTACTAAGGTGAATAGAGCCAATTTAAAAGTAAAATAAATAAAACTCAATTATTCCTCTGTTGTTAAAAAAAGTTTTCTATTAATTTTGTTTTTATTTCACAGGAACTTTCTTTGTCCCAAATCAAGCAAGAAGCAGGTCAGTCAGATCCAAACATTTTTACATGCCATCTTTTATTGGGCGATAGCACATTTAGATATATATTGGGTATAAAAATAATCAGAAGCCATGTTCATGGTTTTTCAAGTAACATAATTTTTCATTTTAACCCCATCAAATACGTTTGTGCTTTTTTGTGCATACCATGATTTTACTTTAACCATCTGATATCAAATCTCTGCTGTAAAAAAAATGCTGCTGTTAAAATGTGTTTATTTTTGTATAGTTCGTCTGTATGATCAAATTCATGAATTGGAGGTGAAGAGAGATGCCTTGATAGAGGAAGCCAAGACAAGGGGCTCTCCAGCTGAGGAGAGAGAGAAGCTCCTGAAACAGGTCAAGGAAGATAACCAAGAAATTGCCAGCATGGAGAGACAGTAGGTTATTTGACAGATTAATGATTAAGGTTTTTTTTTTTTACATTCATGATATTTGTTTGTTAAAAGAAGTCAAAATAAAATTAGGTAAGATGCTTTACCTTTACGTAAGTTACATAAGTGTGTTGAGTGCAAATGTATATAATTATTATGTTTACAGAACTCGAGAAATTCAAGAGAAAATAGATCAGATGCAAGAAGACATCCAACAGTTAGATCAAGACATAGAAGAAAATCAAGGTAATGTTAAGCAGGTTATTTAGGTAAATTTACTTCAATATAAAGCACTTTGGTGGAAAATGTGGGTGGGGGGGGGGGAATTATTTGACCAGTATTTGACTTACTTTTGTTTCCCTTATACAGGTGAAAGGAATCAAAAGTATAAGGAGTTAAAAAAGAGAGAGGAAAGTATGGATGGTAAGAATCAAACTAAAAATATTTGCTAAAAAACATTTAGAAGCATCTATTTTTCTTCAGTTTTATGGAGAGAGAGAAAAAATTAACTTGATAATTCTAAGGTACTTATATACAGTGAGTTTATATTTTAAAATCGCAACTGGTTATGCATGTTACATGTTATAAAAATGACAAGTGCAAGGAAAAAATAATTGATGAGCTCTACATATTTCTGAAGCTGTTTAAACAAAAATAAGACAACTTTGTAGTTTGTTCACTGCAGAAGACAAGAAAATGTTCATTTTCTTGTTGTAAATTTGCAATAAATTTTGAAAATAATTTAATTAATAAACCTGACTTTAATTTAAGCTTATTATGTAAGGTATTTACTATTTAAGCTTATTATGTAAGGTATTTATTGTTTTAAATTTCAGAATTTTTAAATACATTCGAAGGAAATAAATCTGATGAAATTGTAAGTATGATAACTGAGGAATCTGTCAGGATAAGGCAATAATTTCCATCATTTTATTTCAAATCATAATTTTGTTGTAAAATGTTTTTTTCTAAACACGTGTATTAAGTTGTTCATTTATATTAAGTTCTAATGTTGTAAACTTGTCTTCCTCACCAGAGAAAAATCTCTCAAATGGAGCAGGGAATCGTGACCTTATTGGAAAACATGAGCAGGGTGAGTGGTCAGGCTTTAAAAGAAATGGTTTTTTAACTCAATAGATAAGTCAGTAAATAATTTATTACTTAGTAAATAATTCAATTTATTTATTCTTATATAATTGCTTCACTGTTCAACAATCTACTTCTACTGACAACTCTTCTTTTTTTTTTTACAAGACTAATAAATTTTTTCTGTAAAAAATCTTTTTCAGAACATGGGTAGATTCACTCACCTGCCAACACCTAAAGAACTCATGTCCATGAAGGCTGACCTCCAGTTTAAGGAAGATGAACGACAGAAATCAGAAAGGACAACTCTTGGTCTGGCCTCAGGTAGGTCAATCTTGAAATGAGTATTTCAAAAGTATCAGGGGATGTCTTGGAGTTGTGTGACTTCCCGGATTATTTATTTATTTCATTTAGTTCACTTTGTTTGTTGTCTTTGGTTCCTCCCTGCAGAACGTGAAAAACTCCAGCTTGACCTCCAGAAGATGGAACAATTTGAGGAGAAGCTCAATGAGGAACTAAGGGTGCTGAAAGAAAAAGTTGTGCAGATGGAGAAGGAATTGGATGTCTACTCAGATCTGGATAAGCTAAAAATTGAATCCGAGGCCAAGAAACAGGTCAGTGTTTTTGTTTATACATCTGTAAGAATCCTTTCAGAGCCTATTTAACATTTTAAAAAATTTTCATAGATGTTTTGTATCACTTTATAAAAATTTGTCTTAAAATTGTTCTCTTAATGAATTGATTTTATTATAACAATAGATAAATTGGGTATAATTATGAAGGCAAAAATAAAGTATAATTAAGTTTCAATTTTCTGTATTTCAGAAACTGATGGAGGATAGGATAATCCTCCAGAAAAGACGAGACAACTTCAAGAAAATGATCCAGGCCTTGACTGTCAGATATGAGGGCCTGAAGGCTCAGCTCAACGAAAATGAAACATATACCCAGGTGCCTTGTCATGTCATATAAGTGATTGTATTGGAATGTGATGTTTCTGTAGCTGAATTTAATTGATCAATTCTTTTGTGTAATATTTATCGAGGTTTAACCCACCAATTGTGGTCGGTCGATATTTTCGTTCTGTACTGTGGCGGCAGAAAAAATTAGTCGATAAAAAGGTCAGGTAGCAACTTCCAATCCAGTATTTAACCAGAATTATAGCCACTTCCTTTTATTAATAATTAAATCATTGTCCGGGTCAAGCTGTTTGTTGATAACTTAACAATAAGTACTTTTTAAATACTTTAAAACGGAATTTTATGTCCCTGTTCTTTTTAAAGGTAAAATGGATGAAGCTATGGCTGGGCCTTCAGTACGAGAACTAATAGAAATATTTTTGAAAGCTTTTTAGGAGAGGATTTAAGTGATGCTAATGATGATTTTAACATTCCCCATGAGGATCTCAGTTCCGACTATTCTTCTAGTGAATCTGATACTAGTCCTAGTGATACTGAAGTAGGCCTACTGTTAGACTTCGAGCCAGGCCCGGAGGTTGGGCAAGGACTGACTGAATTTTAGTCACAGAAGCTACAGATTATAGATCAGAACTAATAAATTTTATAGTTAGGCAACCCAAATCAGTTTCTTTTTAAATGTTTACTAGTCAATAATAACATTTTTGCCTGAGATTTTGTATGTTTTACTTGGTTTTAGCTGTGGTCCCAGTTTATTTTTTTCAGTAATAAATGACCTAAAATTACTAAAATTGATTTCAGAGGCTTAATTGTAATCGAAACCTTAGCAAACTATACATTTTCTGAAAGATAAATAAATAGGCTACCACATTTAAATTAGTATTTTAATGGAATCTATAAAAATTATTGTTATGAGCACTTGAAAGCAAGATAATTTGTCGATTTTTTTCCTTGAGCACTCCAAGGTCAAGGACAATAAACAAATTTTTTTTTACGGGTGGGCAATATAGCCAACTTAATTCCCATCCATTTACCTTTCTAAAAATAGATCTATATACTTATTGGGGTCTTATATCAATATTTCCATGTCATTTAATTATATTTTAAAAGGCACTCAAATGCTCCCACACTAAAGAATGATCTATGTCACAGTTCTTGGGTTAACTTGGTTAATCAAACGGAGCTGTTCTTTAAAAAAAAAAATGAAATTTAAGGCCAGACCTGCCAATTGACAATTGTGATATTTTTAATGAGGGGCTTTAAAAACTTAAACTCCAAGTATAACATTAATTACTTTTATGAAGAAACTTAGAAAAATTATATTTATTTACTATATATTTTCTAAATTTAACCCGAAAAAAAAATATTGTATTATTTCATAAAATTAAAAAGTTTCAGACATATTTCTATGTTTTTATCTTACAGTTGATGAACCTGGAAAAGAAATGGCAGCACCATGAACAAAACAACTTTTCTATGAAAGAATGTATCCTTAAATGTTCACAGAATGACTTAAACATATGAGATATTTTTTTAATGCTCAGCTGAAATAATCTCTAGGTATTTTATAAAGCATAAATAGAAGCATATTGACTTAATATACTAGCATTTCAAATTTTTTTTTAGCTTGTACAATGGCTATTTATATCTAAGTTTTTATCATTGTTGGCCAATTCTTAACCTTATGCAAGTTATTTCCCAGCGCACCATGGATTGTGACTTTGGAAAGATAAGCAAACAAGTCTATCGTGCCATGGATGACTTCAACTCAATTCTTCAGAGCCATTTAGCCAGTAGAAAGACTTATTAATTAAATCATCATACAAATTAGTAGGTGTTTTAAAAAAAAAAATTGTTACTTTGTTTTCATCATCATAATGATATAAATAATCATAATGGTAATTTTAATCATTAATTTCTTTCTTATGAAATATTTAATGCTTTCTTGAATTCAAAATAATTTTAGCTGATCAGGGTTATCAAGGCCACATTCAAGTTCTATGTATGAATTAGTGAGACAATAAATGTTTTAATGATGAAGGCCTATTATTATCATTCACTTGAATGTTGTGGTGAAGTTGCTTTTTTAATTTTCTACAAACTGGTTTTGGAATTCAAAAACAAATATTTTGTTCTCTTAAATAAGATTAAACATAGTAGAATTTTTATTATAACATACTAATTGGAATAATAAATTTATTATCCTGTAAAATACATTTTGAAAAACCAGCTTATATATTGTAGTTTTAATTTTTAATCAGGGAATGCATAATAAATTGTTTTTAAAATAAGAAATCTAGAATCAGATTTTTTTTAAAAAAAGGGTTCAAATGTCCATTAATGGAAAGGCTGACCGATACATATCCTAAATAAGCCGTCCTAATTATCTGTGATATTGCACATAATGGAAATAAAATGTGAATGATTTTCTTTGTGTTTTGAGTTGTTCATTTTTATTGTATTAAAACAAATCAACAAACATTTTTTTAATGGATTATTTCTGTTTAGTTTTGATGGTCTCTCGTAAATACATCAATCAATAAACAAACAGATGATCTTTCTAAAATGCTGGGAGTGACTCAAAATATTTCTTTTGAATTAAATATTAAATAAAGAAATCGCACCCACATTAAAAAAAACCTTGGAATTACATAAATAAATGCAATTATTTTTAAAATACCACAAAATTAAAGTGATTATGTGTCTTAAATATTGTTTAAAATGTTTTAGCCTGTAGCCTATATATTTGAATATTTTCAGATCAATTTAATACATATCAAAAGAACCATTTTTCATATAAAATAAATACCAAGCACTGAATAACACACAGAAGATTAATCAGATTATAAATTATTAATAACCTAAATTTGAGACAAAGCAGCTAATTTTTTTTAAAACGTTTCTATCAATCTCTAGGAAAAACAAATTAAATTTTATTTTAAAAATAACTAATTATGTAAAGAAGAAAGAAAAACTATGCATTATATTAAACCTGAGAATTATATTTACCCATTGTCTGATCATGATTGACATCTTTTTTCTACTATATATCAGGCCTGCACAACTTAAAATGTAAGGCGGGCCGTAATACTTTATTAAAAATTTGTATGTGCCGAAAGAAAATAGGATGGGGGGAGGGAAGTTATTAAATAAAATAATAATAAAAAAGAATATTTCATTACTTTGCGGGCTGCAAAGAGGGTCGTATGTTGTGCAGGCCTGCTATACATAATTAAAAATTTGCTTTATCTCAGTTAAGTCATTAATAAAAATTAGTTTTCCAGGTTTTTGTTAATTTCAACAAACAAACAAAAAATGTCAATGGAGCAGTGATACCCTTTCTGTTTAGTTTAAGGGTACATTGCCTAAAAAATTTCTTTTTATTTTTGTTAACATTGGATAAAGAAACAAAAAATATTCAAATCATTGATTCGGATAACATATTAAAAAAGAACATGATGATATCAAATAAATTATTGTTTATCTTGTGAAAAACTTAATCTTCTGATTAATTCATGAAAATGATATTAGGCACTAGTGACTCCAATGAAGTGTTAATTTAGTATCCAAGAGCTCTTAACCATTGCAGACCATCCTCTGTTTTACCTTAAATAAATAACAAATATACTCTTTATTTAAAATTGAAATTTGTGTGTTATTTAAAAAAAAGAAAAAAAAAGTATTTCCTTTGTTAGGGAGGAGCACATTTTTAAAGCACTTTAAACCAATTATATAAAATTATATACATTATATAAAATAAATCTCCAAGTGTAAATTACTATGAAATGAATTCATTGTTGATTTTCATGCAGCCAACTTTGGATCAACTTTGTTGATATATATTCTAATATTATGGTATTACCTCTGGGTTTGTATTCCAGTCCAATAAACCCATCATATCCAAGAGTTTCTAAAACTTTGAACACATATGGAAAGTTTATCTCCCCTTGATCATCAGGTTCTCCCCTGTCAGGAACTTGTGCCAATTGTACATGGCCTAAGATATGATTAAGATTAAATTGATTTCAAAACTTCTTTTAAGACGTACAATTCACATCTTAATCTTTCATTTTATAAAAATACATTTAAAGCCTTGATTGTGCTTGTTTTATGATGGTTAAACTTTCTACATTTCTTACCCACAAATGGCAAAAAATCTTGCAAATTCTTTGTTAAATTTCCATCCATTATTTGCACATGGAAAATATCCTGTTAAACCAAAAGTAAAAATATTAGTATGAAATTTATTTATAGAAGTGATGCCACTGTTATTTAGCCAAAATATCTGTGGCTTAATATTTTATGCTAAAAAAGTATACGAGTTACAAAATTTAAAGATCAAAACAGAAAATAAGAAAACTTACAAACTGAAGTTTGAGATTTCGATGGTTCAAAGTTTTCACAATCTCAAGACCTGGAAAAAAAAAAAACTATGAATTTAGAATGTGTTACATTACTTGTGTTTCATTGCCTAAACTGTCAATATTTGACAGTGTAAAGCAGAAAATCCAACTACACTGAACATTTTAACATCTTAAAGATTAGTACCTACAACAAACTAAGGTCGGGAACGTGGGGGCTCACAAACCCCATGCAGCTCTTTGATCTTTCTCATGTAACTCTTAGATACTACTAGTTACTATATCAAAATTTAATATTTGGCTCTTTGCCATGAAAAGGTTCCTGACCCCTGACCTAGCATAATAATTTATCACTGTGACATTTTTTTAATATTCAACAATGGAAATAATGTTTATTTTTTTTGTGGAAAACTAACAATTGGCAATGAATGAAACTAACCTTCATGTGGATTGTGCATAAAATAACCTGGAACAGAAAGTCTGTTGTTAACTGGCTCTATCAATGCAAGAATTCCTTCCTGTTAAGTAAAAGAAGCTCCATATCAAGTAAACTAATCATATTTCTTAATTTTTTTTTTTTTAAATGACATCTTATAATCAGTTAAAGTAAAAAATCTGACATTTTTAACTTCATGCTGAACATCACAGATTTAGAGCAGGAAAGGACCTGGAAGTAAAAACAGATTCAATTATTTTCTCTTTGCTGTCAAATATTTAAAAAAAATTATGTATTTTTTTATTGGAGGGGAAGAGGGGGGAAGAGAGAAAGGGAGGAGGGGGGGAGCTTAGGAACCAAATTAAATTTCTAATGAAGTCCACAATAATAATTGCTTAAATTGTTGATTTTTTAAATATATATATATTTTTTTTAAAGTTATTCTATCAAACACTTACTTTATTAAGTCTATCAGCTGCATATTTTAAGTTCTCCAAGTACGTCTTTTTCATTTTATCCTTTCCTGCTGCGTCAGTACCTTCTGGTATACGGCCAGCCATTATGTGCATTCTGCAACATAAATTTTATTTGGCAATGAATTATCCTGCATTTTAAAAATATGTTGCTGTCAAAACATTATTGATGTGACTTTTTAAATATATTTGGGTCTTACGTATAACAGAAATTCATTTAAGTTTAACAATATCTTAGTTCAAAGTTTACAGTTCAAAAATCACCTTTTGCAATTCAAAGCATTAGCATACAGAATAGATGCTTCCAGTCCTTCTCTAAAGTCGTTGACTCTATCAGGTTGTGCTGCAAGGCCAAGGTCTCCAGCTTTTAAGCTTCCTGTATACAGTGATATAAATATTTGGAATAAACCCTCAAGCTGTTGCATCACATAAATTTTCAATGTTTAGACACCTCTAGTCATTCCCAATTTTTGGTAAACCTCAGAACGGTGGTCCTAACTGTCAAATAGTAGCCTTTGCGTTAGAAAGTGCCCCGCTACCAGCCTCATAGTGGCCAATAATTGGTGACATAATTGTTTACGTCTAAGCTTATCCATTTTTTCACCACTATCTTTTTTTCGAGAGAAAAATAAAGAAAAATGCAAGAGAGAAACAAAAACAAAAAGTTATCTCTATTTAATTTCTCTTTCATATTAGACAGTGTTCAGCCAGCCACACTAACCAAAGCATGGTGTCATCAGGGTTTCTTTCAACTATATCTCGGGGGGGAAAGCCAAGTGCCCCCCCCCCCCCCCCCCCCCCCCCCCCGGAGCAAAAATATGTCCAGCAATAAATCAACTGGCACTGCTGGCAGAATGTTTCTTGGCAAAACATTAGTTGAAATATAAACCAGCGCTTGCGGTCTGTTAACCATTGAATTTTTATTTTTATTTTATATTATTACAAGCAATAATTACCCAGAAAATAAAATTAAAAGTAAAAAACTATATCACCAATTATCTGCTGCTATTAGGCTGGTAGTAGTTGGGCACTTTATAACTTAACGTATTATGTTTGACATTTGGGACCACTGTTCTGAGGATTACCAAATTTTCTTATAATTTAAAAATTAGGCCTAGTACATTTTACATATAGGAATACTGTTAGTATACTATATACCTGTTAGAGTTATAATTATATATCTGATGTTATAATTATTAATTTCAAATTCAAAGTAGTTTAGATTTAGTAGTTATAATTATTTGGTTAACTTGACTAAGGATTATTAATATTATTATTAAGCTTTCTGAGTCTGAGTAATTATTTATCTGGTCTTTTTTAACTGAACAGTAATTGGTTAAGTATAGATATAGGCTACCTACTACATAGTTTTAACATACATAACTATAACAAAGTATTAATTAATAAAAATCTGAGAGACCTCCTTGTACGCAGTCGTATCAATGCTCCCCCCTCCCACTTTGGGACCAAGCCGTGTGGACGCAGTCGTTGCAACACGTGCCCTTTTGTCGTCCAGACTGAACGCATAAGTTTCCCCAAGGGCAGTTTTCAGATACGCGATGGTTTCCTCTGTACAAGCCGCAACGTTATCTACGCCATTGTCTGCACTCGCTGTCAGATGACATACATAGGGGAGACTGGACGCCGTCTCTCTGACAGGTGTACCGAACACCTCCGAAACATTACACAAGATAAATAGTGTCCCGTCTCCAGACACTTCAATAGTAGTGACCACCAGGGCAAGGCGGACTTTTCAATAAGTGCGATTGTGGCTAGCACGAACACCACCAGCCGGGTCAATTTGGAACACAGACTTATCCTGACTTACGGCACTTTGACGCCAGACGGGATTAATGTTATGTCTCTGTTCACAGCTTGACCCTAGCTCCGCCCCTCCACGTTCTGACCTATCACAGTGAACATTTTTCTCCCCCTTTTTTTCACCGCTGCTTATTTAAACTCTCACTCATTTTCCTTCTGCCACACTTCTATTGCTGCCCACAGATACTACTTTCCAGCTAAGTGCTATTTCTTATTTTTATACCGTTTTTTCTGTTGTTTTGTTCGCTGACGAAGGCTTTCTGCCGACACGTTCGCTGTTTTGTTGCGTGTATTTTTTTCAGGTTCAACCCTACTCTGTTTTACTAATTTTATTAATTAATAACATATAATAATATAGTCTAATATAGTCATATAGTAGTCATAGTGAAGTGAGTGACATAACATTAACAAAGTAATAGTAGTATAACCCTATCATAGGGCCTATGCCTATAACTATGACATGACCAATGACTATGACCAAAATGGCCCTGCCATATTCATATGGATACGTTTAATTATTTAAATTTGAAATTGATTAATCACCAGGATATGCATTTATGAGAACTTGCTCTAGCCCTGCACTTTCTTTGGCTGCTTTCAATTTCTCGATGGGTTCGTCATATGGAAAAGTTAATTCCACATATTTGAATTCAGCTTTTTTAGCTGCAGCATACCGCCCTTCTAAAGTTGGTATTTCTTGAAACATCATAGAGATGTTTGCGGCAAATTTTAGTGGCATTATATGTCTGTTTCGTATTGTGCTAATGAAACGTATGCATCGAATAACTGTTTTGGTTTGAAGTAATATGTGCCGAGCCTGTATAACCATAACAAACGACAACCTGACTGAGATATTTGGACACAAAAACAGCTGCTAGGGTTAAAGGTCATGAGTTACATCTTTTAATAATGGACACTAAAAGACACAAAGCTTTTAAAAAGCTATTAATACGTAAACATATAGTCGTAATGGATATTCTAAACTCACTTTCTCACCCAGCTAGAAAATTACGACGCGACCCCACCCCCATACGCTTTTATTTCATAAAGAATATATGACCCGGTGTTACCAAGGTAATAGTGGAAGGCATACTTCGCTACATTCCACCAGCTTTTGCGAAGTTTAACATATGAAAATTTTAACCGAAAATCAAAATTTTTACATACCTAATTGAATAGGATTTTAATGATGATGATGATAATGATAATGTAATGTATCCTCAATTTCAATTTTTTTTTTAATAAGACAATTTTCAAAGCATTTGAATTGTGAAATTAGGAAATTTAACCAATTTTCACACCTGTAAATGGAACAGTGTTAGTGTTAGATCTATGCGTGTTTAAAAAACAACAACTATTCTAACGTTTATTTGCGCAAATGGAAAAAAAAAAATTAAAAAATTCCTCAAATCTTAATGCCGATTTATTCAACGAAGTGGCTATTCGGACCCGGTCCGTGAACTGAGAATTTTGACTAAATGCTATTCAGATCTCATTTGTGGTAGTTTATTTTAGTTTAACTGAAGAATTAAGCTTACAAACATATAGACCATTTAATTATCTTTCATTTGATACCAAATTTTGTCTTACAAACCTTATAATAATTTTAAAATATTTTTTTTTTATAAACCCAAACTCTCAATTCTCGAACCCGGGTCCGAATAGTTGCAGCCTTTATTCAATTCCCTGGCCCCTGAACTGTATAAATTTTAGGGAAATGGGGAAAAAATATTATTTTAAAAGATTGAATTTTCAAATTGGTAAAATATTTGGGTTTTTAGACAGTTTATCAAAGATAAAAATATTCCCACTCTACTTATTTCACGTTTAAATTTATGTTTACGAAACGTTTTCTTTACATATTTTATATAAACATATTGTAACCCTTATAAATATTTTCCCAACCCTTCTCCTCGCCCCTGAACTGTATATCTGAGGAAAATGGCAAATTCAAATTACAATGATGTCCCCAGTTACAAAGGAAAATCGTATCTACTATTTCCCCCTTTCCAACTTCATTAAGTTATGAGGTATTTCTATATTTATAAAAGTGTGCCTTCATTATGTCAACACCCTTGAACTGCATCTTCCGACATTACTATCAGACGTATTTGTTGATTTTGAAGACATATATAATCTCTTTTTACCACTGTAAGATCATTCGATTTAAATCTATTGTTATTCACATAAAATGTACTCATCCTCTTTCCTCCATATTTTGGCGCATCTTGTGCTACCTTAGGCAAATAAAGTGTTAAAATAATAGTTTGCATTTTAAAAAGCAAGCAAAGTTAATTATTTAAAAAAGTTAATGTACACTTTAAAAAAACAACAAATTAAAATAAAGGGACATAACTCTGGAAAATTACATTTTAAAGAAAAATAACTAAGGTCACTAAATATTTTTTATTTTAATTATAATATTTTAAAAAATAATTTAATTAATAAATTTATATTCTACAATTAATTAAAAAATTTATTTATTTAAATAAAAGTATCAATTTTTATGACGTTTATAAAAATATGAATATTTTAAGTAATTATATTTATTATATTATCGTGAACTTTACTACTAAATTTATAAACAGCTTACACAAAGTAGACACCATTTTCCAACAATAACTAATTACTCTGGTTTCTCTTCACAACGATTAAATCTTTCGCCTTTTACTAAAGATTTCCGTGGAGAGGAGCAAATTAATGAGTCTAAATGACTATTTTTCAAGCCCTTCTTGAAGGGTAAATCACAAAAATTATGAGTGGCAATGAAGATAGAGATGAAAAAACAGATCTCCATTAAGTTAAGTGAGACAACACGTTGATCGATTTAAATTTAGCATTATTGTACCTGGACCTGTAAAATCTTGTTCGTTACGCTGACTTACCAAGCTCTGGAAAGGCGCGTCTTAATTAGGGCGATTCATTATTTCAATTTTTAGCAATATGGATTTTTTGGTTCGTATAGATGTTATGATCGAGTGTTTTGGATTAAAAACAATACAAATTTAAGTTTGCTTTGCACGCCAATTTCGATATTAATGCATTCCATGATGGAACACTTCCTTAAAAACAACATTGTGGGGAAATAGGTTTTCATCCTGCAGCAGTTGTCTTTTGGGGGGATTTGGTGGAGTTTCACCTGCTTGGTACTATATAATGGTCGTGACAATGAAACATAAAGCTGTCCAATTCCAACATGAAAGAATGTCTGTCCCTGAGATATGTTGATTGTACTGCATAAGTCGGAATGATGGGGAATTGTTTACGTCCCAGAACGACGTTTACTAAAGTGTCGCTAGGCACTAAGTCTATTCGTTGGATGATGAGGTTACGCCGAAGGTCCCCCACAATCATTCAAGTACCGTTTTCACAATCCTTACTTTGGATTGAGATTTCTCATCAGCATAATGATTACATACATCATCAGAATATGAGGAGACATTCCTGAAGGAGTCTGATCGTCGAGGAATTCGTATGGATAGTTCGCTGCATCATTTAGTTCCTATGAAACTATCGAATCTGCGCTGCAAGAAAATGAGTGGATCACCAGGCAACAGTCCAATGACTTTGCTGTTCATTTCGAGCGTTTGTAAAGTGGTCGGAACTGTTTTGATAACTCATCGACAGACACTGATGAATGAATATCCGACCCAAAGATGGATTCGACGAGATTCTTCGAAACGTTCATTTGTTGGGGAATCTCAAGTGTGTCTTCTTAGCATTTTCCTAGAACTGGCTCCAGATGTCCAGTTCCGACCTTAAGAAGCCAAGTGTTGTACTCGCTCTGACCTTTGGTGCGCATGTTGTGTGAAGTTGCTCCAGCAAAAACTTGACTTCATTCAGCATTCGGTGATGTCAGTTAGTGGGCCTCTGATCACCATTGAAAGAGTCTGTCGGAAGTATCCTACCACAACAAAAACTCCCCCCCCCCCAAAGGGTTCCCATTGTTAATTAGCTCGCGAAGAAGCTTATCGCTACATGGGAGTCCATACTTTGGCACCGCCATTGTGATTTCATCGATGATGATGAGCGATGCTTGACAGAGAACTTCAGCGTCAGCAAAATTTGGTCTCTGCAATGAAATGGAAGTATCGATCAGCAGAACCGGAGGCTTGAATCCACTGCAAGCTGTTCTTTCTCCTTTCAAAAGCGTTCCAACAATTTTTGTTGTGGTAAATGGCAGAATGATCTTTCATTTTCAGCGGATAAATGCCATCAGTGTTGTGTAAAGGAATGTTTTTTCCGGATCCTCCAGGACCTTCGAAATATAAGTATCGATACTCAACATTTTTTTCATTGATGGCCCCCCTACGATTTTTTGGAATACACTCAAGTTTTTCGTTGAGCATCCAACTCGTTCGTCGCCTTCGCGTGCTTCTTTAACTGGATCCTAGAGCTGCCTTGTATTGCTAAGCCAATTGTTGTTCGCAGACTGATTTGTACGCTAGACAATCCGTGTTGTTTGAGAATCACGTTGCTGTCATGAGCGGCCATATTGATGGCGACGTCATCAACGAAACCTCTCATGTAGTCGAGAGCCGGGTCGGTGACATATTTTTTCTACAGCCCAATTGCTTGGGATGGTTGACAGAAGCAACACATTCAAACGAACGTTTCACGCCATTGCTTCGTCATTTGATACGTGCGAGCTTCGTGTATGCAGCGGTACCGCTGCTCGTCTGACGCAACAAGTCCTTGCGCCGGTGCAGCTTCTTTGAATGTTGGCTGAAGCGTTCTGTTGAACGTTCATATCGATTGAAAGCTTATCGCTTCTCGGACACGAAGGATCAGCAGTCGAAGGTAAAATACCTCGTCGTCTTGAAATCTCACGGTGTACTTGCGCGACACATTTTTTCCTCATATTTGTCGCTTTTCCCAGACTGATCCTTGGTAGTCTTAATTGTATATGGGATTTTTACTGCAGTGCCTCTTCATCCGTTTTGTTCAGCCACGCCCAGCCTGTGCTGCAAGCAAAGCTTCTTCTTCGTGTCCTTTCTGGAATGTGATGCGCACTGTTTATTCGGCAGGCTTTGCACCGCGTGTGAACGACCGTGCATTTTAAATTTAAGCGGTGGCCACATTGCTTCTGATGCACTAAAATATCGATGTCGACGTAGTTGTCGATCGCGTTATATCGGAGCTCCTGCTGGCCGTCTGATCTGATGGCGATATCAAATCGTTTGGAGATGTACTTGTAGATGTAGGAATTTGGTTGCGTTCACAGACGTACAAATGTTAACTTGAACATGCTCATTGTATTTCAAAGTAGCAAGTACGGATTGTTTGACACGACATAATTGATTGTCCATCAACACTCCTCTAACCGGTGCTTGGACAATACTAGGTCGCCGACACACTGGATATCCATCGACTTTCGGCTTCGCCGGGCCATTTAACTGCTTTGGAAACTGTTTCTTGCACTCTCCATCTTCCAATGCAAAGTGCGTAGCAATTGTTGTTTGCCTACTGTCCGTGCATGAAACATCTTGTGACGATCTCAATAAAGAGAGGATTTTCGAATTCAGCAGGAATTTAGGCACGAACGAACTTATCAATTTGCTCCCCAGTTGTAAACGTATCCTCTAAGCGTGAAGTTACCAAACTATGAGCATATGGCAAGCCTAGCTTGTGGAATGCAATGGTGCATAAGAGAGCTTTTGCTTGTCCAAACAAGCCATGCAAGAACAAGTCAGCCATCAACGATTCGAATTTAATGGTGAAAACTCGGGTCACCAAATCACGACGGTGTGATGCTTGTTCGCATGCAAACCAGTTCTCATTGATATCTGGCTAATTATGGCTAAACGGGAATATAATGAGGATATCAAGCGCGCCAAACTTTGCGCCGAATGCAGACACAGCAGACATAGCAATGCTACTGCGCTCTCGTGTGCTTAGCGATCCTTCGAAACTTAAATGCAGA